CAGATTAAACAAATATCCCTTATCTACAAGTTTTGTGTTGTCAGTAATGGCTAGAAAACATGCAAAAGTACATAAATTTATCATACTACGGCATATATAGTTGTAAGTGACACATGAAGCATGGAAATGGACTTGCATATATCTGAAATTGCCTTTATGAGTTACTATTTGACGTGTCTATCAGAGCTGAAGTGAGACTAACACAAGCTAAGCATGGATAGAAACAGAGGGTAATTTGGCGATTGGTGATAATTTGGTTTCAAAACATTCTCTAGAGTTTTTCTCAAGTCTGGAGCAAATATGCATGACAGGCTTGGGACTTCAGTGATCAGAGATTTTCTGGAGAAAAGATGAAAACAGATTTTACTTGTATCAGTGCAATTGCTGCAGGGACCATTTTCTTTAATCTGAGCTTGTATGGATTTGGGAAAATATTGTCGCTTAGCATTATAGCTGTATGGATGCCCTCTGTCTCCCTACCATCACTTGGGGAAAATGCCATTTAGGAAATACTTTGGTTTCATGCTACTGCTTCAGGCTGCACAAGAAAAAAGGGGCCAAGGAGCAAAGGGCTGCAGTGGGTGAACCAGTTTGCATCACCTAGAAATACTCCAAGTTTGAGGCAGAGAAGGGGAGGAACACACATAAGGGACACACATAAGGTTTTAGTAGCCAGGACAGCCAACCCTGCACTTTTCATAAGCACTAGATTCAATGAGTTTGCAGTTGTCAGTATAGTGTGCCTCTTTCCTGAGCCCTTTGATTGCTGCTGCCTTATACAGCACCTGACATAGGGGTCATTTCAGCAATATCTAAATTTTTGTTAGGCTGCCTGTTGAGGTAATGCTGCAGCTGATTCAAGATCAACACCACTTTGGCATTTCAGAATTGTGGCGTATGGGCTAAAATCTATATCACATAGAATTTAAGTGCTTCATGGGGCTAATCCCATGATGCTGCCCTGTAGAATTCTGCGTTGCTCCCATGTCATAGGAGTGGTGGCTGGGGCACTAAGGGCCCAGCAGATCACCCTGGCTGGGATAGGAGAACCCTGCACTCCCAGCATGCAGCCCTGCTCTCAGTACTGCCGCAGACAGCAGCCTCTTGGGATGTGCCCTCTGTGTCAAAACTTTCCAGACCGGTTGTGTTTTTATTATATTAACATCACAGATAAAAGCAAAGTTTTCGTCTTTCAGGGATCAGGCCATGCCCTGAAGTTCAGTTCTGGATCTTGGCTTTTCTACTGGTCAGGGATGTTCTCACCCTGAATGTTTTACTCTCCCTTTTAACTAAAATGTGTAAGTGTTCACATAGAACATATATTATACGGTACATGCTACCATAACCTCTGGCAGTACCATGCAAGTATCCATGCCGACCACTGACTCCTAAACCTGGATAGTGCTGGCTTTGCTACACATTGAAACAAAATTACATGATGAATGTATTACATGTGGCATCAGAATCTGTCCTTTAGAGGACAAGTAGGTTGAGTCCAATAGAGGTTAAATCGTAATAAATTCCATCCACTCAAGTATGCACATCCCACTTAAAACTCTGCAGAGCAAGGCAAACACCTCATTGTCTGTGCTTTAGCCTCTGGCCAGAGTGGCATTCACACTGTGAATTATATACAGATAATTATAGCATGTATCTTTTTAGAACAGTTTCCATAAGCAAAGAAATTGCAGGAATGGTGTTATTCATCAGATACAAGCAGGCCATTTTATTTTCTTTTCAAATGTTCTAGTTGGAAAATTATTCTGAGCTGTTGCCTGAGCTCGGTAATACTGCTGCAGGGATTTACCTTGTTTTGTTTGATTTGGGTTTTATTTGCTCAGTATATACTGCTTATGACCAGGTTCTCACTTGGTAAATACTGGTGTGATGAAGTCCACTTTGTGGATGTACTTAGATCCCCTATATCTCTTAGCGCAAACAAAAATTTGTGCATGAGAGAGAAAGCTTCACTGAGGTGTTCTGGCTGATACTCTGACAGCCATATTAACAGAAGCAGCCCTCTTTATTCCACTCTCCATATTGTAACTAACTCATCTCATCTACAGCTACTCTTTACTGGTTGGAGGATGTGATGAGGGGACCAGTGGTTTTGCATGTAGCTTAAGACATTTTTGGTAGAGAACCACCTAAGTGCTCTCTGCTCACAGTACAGGGGAAGAAAGGAGGTCCTGGGGGACCAAGCTGAAATCCTTTCAGAGCTTGTTGTGTTAGGGTTTCCCTCTGCACCTTCACAAGCAGGGAAGCTCTTTCTCTTGACTGTTTTCTTCTGCCTCCTTGCTGTCTTCTGAGCTGTTTCCAATGCATGGAGCACTATGGTGAACCAAATCAACAAGCTTTCCTGAGCTAAAAATACCCTCTGTCCAATTATTTATTGTCCTATATCATTTGTAGCTTGGATCAACTCTTTGGCTTGGTTCCCTGAGAGGTCCCATGGGAGTGGGAGAGGGAGAAGTGCAAGAGTAACCATGCCCTCTGACTGCTGCCTTAGTCTTGACCTAGTAAGCAGTGAAAAAGTCTGTCTTTCTCAAGACAGCTGGCCCAAGTTCAGAGCTCCAACACTTCTCTTGATCCCAAGAGAAGCACATGCAAGTGAGTGCAGTTTGTCTTAGGGGTTGTTTCATCAAGCTAGGCTGTTTTATTGTATGATCTGACCTGTGCCAAATTGCGTAGAGTCGGTCAAGGGCACAGGTGGCCAGGAAAATACCACCGGGGAAAGCTCCTCCTTCCAGTTGTCCTTTTGTTCAGGTGTAGAATAAACACTGCAGCTTTTGCACTGGGCCTGTCTTGAGTGTTGGGGCAGTTTGTTGATCTTTGCTGGTAACCTCAGAGATGCCACAAGTGCATCAGGTACCTTTGGGGACCCTGAAGACCACAGCAGGATGACTTATATGTTTTTATTTCTGTGAGCAGGCTAAACTGCACCTGCTCCTTCACTGGGTTGGAGTACTCTCCAAAATCACACTGTTCTAAAGATCAAATATGAGATGCCTAAACTGAGCATCCAAGCTGAGGTTTTGAACAGTCTGAAAATCTGTAATTACTGGTTTTTCCTTGGTTGTAGGATAATATTGCTTAAAATTCAAGATGCCCTCTGGGATGACTCCTTGACTTTTCCAGTCAGTTCAAAGACTCTTAATCCTTGTCCCCAACAGCAATATATTTTCCAGAGCAGACTAGCCATATGACAGTATTTATAACTTTCAAAATGTGACCACTCTGCAGAATAAAAACCTACCCATGACTCTGATAATTTGTGATCCTTGTACTTGAAGCAGACATCAAATACAGATTTGAAGTATGAACACAATGCAACAGTTAAGTTTGAAACTGGAACAGAAACTAAAACAGAAAATCCCACTTAGAATTTCTAAAGCAAGTGTAGGAAATTCAGAAATTCAAAATATATAAAAAGGGTCAAGCAGCTTAGATGATGTACTCAGAGCCTGTCACAGTGTTCCCATTTACCAGCAGTTGTCGCTCTGATTCCAAACACTATAATGTTTCTCAGGATGTATAATGAGAAATAACTGAGGAATGTGAATGAACAGCCTTGCTTTAAACATGGTCCAGAGTATTTAATCTGTTATCACTGTAACTCCTAATGCTGATGATTGTACTGAGAAGTACCACATGTTCAGTGAATAGTTTTGATGATTGGTAAGTGTGTTTTTATAACTGTCATTACGTTGTTTTTCCTACTAATAAAGCATCAGTTGTTCAGTAAATCTTCAACAGGTGTTGTCTTTTGTTACTAGAACTGAAACATATTTCCAGCTTTTTCAAGAGTCTTTGTTATTTGCTTTGCTTCACCCTAGTTTGTGATTGGTGCTTCTGTGAATTATGGCTCTACAAAAGTACCCTTTCATGTATTCATTTCTCCAAGTTAAAAGAATATCATTCTTTCAATATGGAAAGCTGTGCAGTCAGGCTGGGATTGCATTATGCAAACAATGAGATAACAGCCTCCTTTTGCTCCCACTGAAGAGCAAAGTGGAGCTGAAGGAGCCTCTGGAAGGGGTTGTAAAGTTTTTTACCACATTGTCTTCTATATAATTCTCCTTTGCTCTATATTAGCATAACTGAGAGATGTGTTCATTTGACCCCTGTAGGGATAGCACATAATATAGAGAATAACTGTATGAGTGCAGAATTTTTCAGGGTTGTGTCTGGTGTTTTTCTTCAGAGCAAGTTTGAATTTTCTCATTCATTGCAATCAAATACAATGGTGGTAACTTTTTTTTCAGTTCCTCTAGATTTAATAAAGCACAGTAATATAATTTCAGGAGGGGATTAATTTTTCTATCGTGCTGTTATAAATATTTGGGATCTCAGTGGTGCTCTGTGTGACACCTCTTCCTTCCCCACCAGGCAGAAGTGGATTTGAGTGCCAAAGATGAATATGCCAGAAAATCTCCTGAATCTGTCATACTCCCAAAATGTCAGAGTGAGAAGAGATGTGTAAGGCCTGGAGGTTCAGTTAGACCTTAAAACCTGAATATGTAGCTTAAGGGGTCTTTCAGGAAGCCCCCTTTCCTCCCTCTGAGCTTACAAGGAGACCCAATGCCCCTGAAAGTAATGTAAAATAGGTCCTCAGGAAAATCACCTTTGGTGATACCTGGCAGCATGACAGTTTCAGTAGTGTTCAGTGGAACTCTATCAATGTCCTCTCTTCAGGAATTGAGTTATGTCTGTGATGCAGAAAACTTAGTGCTACCTATATACAAAAGGCTCGTATTAGAGCTTTTCTATACAGAAAGTGATTGATGGTTATTCCAACTCTAAATTCTGGTACATCTCTGTCCCTGGGAAACACGGCATATTCCTACACTATTGCCACTGGGTCATGACAGATAATATTCTTGTTTCGTATGAAGCTGATGCTTAACTTACTGTAGTGCTTTTAAGATAAGTGAGCAACAAGTCTTTGCCCTGTAGTTATTTTTCCTTTCCTTCATGGAGCTTTCTTCTTTCCTCCACAGTTTGTCAAGGAACAAATAACAAGCTGACCCAGCTGGGACATGTGGAAGACCATTTCACCAGCCTGCAGAGGATGTACAACAATTGTGAGGTGGTACTCAGCAACCTGGAGATTACATATGTGGAGCACAATCGTGACCTCTCTTTCCTGAAGGTTAGTGTTCATGACCAATGGGGCCTTCTCTGCTGCAAAACATCCTACTCCATTTTTTAAGTGCAAGGATCAGCTGATGATAAAATTCCGTGGTGATCCAAAAACATAGCTAGTTAAGGTCAGAGGAATAACAGCCTACAGTCTAAGCATACCTGTAGGCTGTAGGGTGCGCTTGACCCTACTAAAGAAATCAGATACTTTGAGAAATACCTTTTCAAGCACTTGCCAACCTGTGCTGGATGCCATGCAGATGGGTTTCTTCTCATTTACAATTAGAATTACATCCTTACCTATTACCTCACTTCTCAGAGAGCAAAAGGCTTTGTGGTGCTGTTGGGCAAAGCAGAGCACACAATGAGTGGCAGATTGTGAAGTGTGGAGACCTTTTCCCTGTCCTCCAAACTGCGTTCCTTTCCCCTGCCATAGTGGTGAGTCCCTCTCCAGCCTGAAGTGCTCACACCCTCAGCAGGCAGGCAAGTCCTGTGCAATAACTTCCCACATAGATTCTTGAAGTGATCTTCAAGATAATCCCCTGTGATTGACACATGGACTACTCCCATCTCAACATTTGTTTTGTGCACAAGTTCATGGGCAAATTAAGGCAAGCTGAGGAGGGAGTGAAGAGAGGATGGATGTTAAAATAGAGCTACGGCATGGGGAGGAGCCATGGCTGGCATAGGGACCTCCAGGTTCTCCACCAGCAAGCAACAAGCAATATCAAAAAATGTGGTTTGAATATATGGGTTACAAATATGACGGTATTGCCATTCTTCTTTCTCAAACACAACCTGATCAGGGATCTCAGGGTTCCAAGGAATGTAACGAGTCTCTTGAAAATTTATGGGTAGCCTTCATAGAAAAGGAAAATATCCTTAGTAGCCTGAAGGGTTTTCACTTGCAGTGATTTTTGTAGGGGATAGAAATGGATATGTTTCATAGTGCAAGACAGGAATAAACCAACATGCAGGAACAGTGCTTCACTTGTCTTTTTATCCTATAAAGATATATATTTACGAAGGAGAAGGTTGCCTAGTCTTCCCTTCTGATGAGCATGGGAAGAGGCATAGAAGAGACCATGTGAAAGCCTGAATCAGGTGGCATCTGTGTGCTGCCAGTTGATGAAGGCTAGGCAAGTATTTATGGAAAGCATCACACTTAGTCATTTCATACATGTTTGCCCTTTTCCCTGCATCTCTTAGTCAGCCCCACATATTCTTACTTGGGGACAGAATTAGGGGTATGCTGGACCTTTGGAATGACCGTCACTGCTGAAAGTTTGATTTTATACGTGCTTAACTACCAAGGTTTTGCATATAGTCCCTTTTTCTTCTTGGATTTATTCATTTTTAATGAGATTAGGTGGTCTCTTTTCCCTTAAAATTGAAAGATGGTGGATTGGAGGAGTTGGAGGAGGAAAGCCGTTACTGAAGAGTACTATGGATTAAGCACCTTGTTTCTTCTGTTGCTCTCTCAGACAATACAGGAGGTTGCAGGCTATGTGCTCATCGCCCTTAACATGGTGGATGTCATTCCCCTCGAAAACCTTCAGATCATCCGAGGCAATGTGCTGTATGACAACTCTTACGCCCTGGCTGTTTTATCCAACTACCACATGAATAAAACACAGGGACTCCGACAGTTGCCAATGAAGCGGCTTTCAGGTGAGACACGGGCAAGAAGTGAAGGCACCTCTAAAGCCAATTCAACTGTCAGGTTATTGGTTTTCAGGATCTATTGGAGATTGCCTCTCAAAGTCATAGGCCATCAAAACCCACTTTAAAAGCAAGGATCTGAATGTAGTTTTCTAATTGTTTTCCTGCTAGCCAGTCTTCTGCAAAAGACAAAGAAAACTCATCAAGATTCTTCTTTGTTCCCAAAACTGGCAAAGAAGCATCCCTTTGTTATTTTGTATTATTTGATTCTAGTGCATACATATTGATATTTTCTGTTAGATCCCTGTGGTAATTGGTAATATGTGTGGCTCACGTGGTCTCTGGCTGGGCACACCAGTAGTGCCTACTCTGCTGACTGCTGTGGGCCCCAGAGGTGGCACCAGGCAGAAGATGCACATCGTGGCATCTTGGTGGCATCTGAGAAAAGCCGACTCTGCAGAACCTGTCGGTCTGATCCAGGTGTTAGTTACACTGAAAGGAGTGCTGATGCCCTGCAGATTGTTCCTTTCTCTCAGTATCATGTGACTTAGGTAGAGAAAGATGTAACTTATTTCTGTTTCTTTAGATCAGAGACATTTTGGTGACGTCTTTGGAGCAAATTAGGGATTTTCTTCACTTAGCAATTTTTTTCTCCCTTTAACAGAAATTCTCAATGGAGGTGTTAAAATCAGCAACAACCCCAAACTGTGCAACATGGATACTGTTCTTTGGAATGACATCATTGACACAAGCAAGAAACCTCCCACAGTGCTTGAATTTGCAAGCAACCTGTCTTCTTGTGAGTATTAACTTAGGAAAAGTGCTATGTGTCCCTGTCCATTTCAGAGAGTAAAATGAACAGCCCATCTTTCATGCAGTGGGTTCCTGTCCAACAATTTCGAATGAAGGCCACCCAGCTCTCTTCCAAGAGAAGTGCTTTCATTTCTGCACCATTGGCCTAAGACGTAATTTTTCATTACAGTTAGGTCCTTAACTGATAGCTCAGCAAAGTTCTTGGGAATGTTCCTCTTGATTTAATACAGTACCATGCATATGTGCTCAGCTCAGAAAAATATGCATTCATTTGGTTTCTAGTGATCTTCTGTTTACATTGTAAGGCCCTGGTCTAGAAAAACCATATGGGTAGCTTAATGAAGCCTTTTTAGAGCTAAGGCCCAAGTAATGCCATAAAATTCTCCTGTTTTGGGCTGCACATTACCCTGGCAAAAGTATTAATAAACAGGTAGATAAATCTGACGCTTCAGATCAGCAGGGAGATGAGGGGATATTTAAAAGTTTGTACAGCATATGCTTAGAGCAGGCTCAAGCTAATCTTTCAGCCTTACAAGTCCTTCGTAAAATCCCCAGTCATTTTACAGAAAGGAGGGTTTATTTTCATTTCTGAGCATTTCATTTCTGGCACTATAAATTGGCAGGAAAACATATTTTCTTTATCTTCTTGCAGTTGCATAATTGCCTGAGAGCTAATAGCCAACTTCTGTGTTGACTTATTTTTCTATGGAGCCCTGGCGTAATCAAGGAGTTGCAAACTATACATGTCAGCACAGGAGTTTGGCTCTGAACACCAGAGAAATGTTAACCTTTAACTTTTCAACTTAAAAAAAATAAAGTTCTTTGGTCCCACACTAAATCAATCAACTCTTGGACAACTATTGGCATTTGTTCAGCTATTTGATGGCTGACGGGGGAAAGGAGAATCACATGCTGTTAGTGGGAAGAAACACTCGAGTAGGAAATGTCTTTTAAATGTAGTGAATTCCACATTAATCTGCTAAGACAGCCTTTTAACGCATTAATAATGATCCCATACTCTAAAATAAGTTGTTTCTCTGGGACTTTGCTTGTCATTAAGAGAAAGAAGAAGAAAGAATAGAGCAAGGAGGGAAGAATGGGAAAGAACCCAGCACTGAACCCTCGAGTTCAGGCAAGGTGTCTGTCCATTCTGCCCACCTCTCCATTAATCATCCATCTGCAACATAGTCCAGCACAAGGAGTATTTTTGGCAGAGCATGGGAGGAGGGCACAAAGCAGACAAGTCAAATTGCTTTGTGGTCAGAGTAGCTGGCAGTTGCCTGTGAATCCAGTTGGATTTGTTTTCTTTTTAGAACTGCCTGGTTCAGAAACACTGATTTACATGTGGCCTGTGGTGAGCAGCTGGCACATGCCTGAATTCAAGCCAGTGGTGACTTGCCATTGCATGAAAACCCCAGCAGAAGGGCCAGCCGGGCAGTAGCTGAGATTCCTGTTCCTGGGAAAAATATGCCTCTTTCGTAAGCTAGACTGGCTGGGTAATGTGCTCGCTTGCTCAAAGGTGTGGAGGTGGAGAGCTGCACGTAGGAAAGCAGAGGTGAACAAAGGACAACGAATTCAGCTCTCAAATTTTTTGAGCACTGTTATGTAGGTGCTTCGTACCCTGGTTTATCAGGAAGGAAATCTCAAGTCATTGTTTTCTGTTGTTCATGGTATCTTGTTATTTTCTTCGTTTACAGAATATTATACTCTCTCTTGTGTTTTAGGTCCCAAATGCCATCAGAACTGCACAGAAGACCACTGCTGGGGTCCTGGTGAACAAAACTGCCAGACATGTAAGCCTGCAGATTAGTTAAGAAATAGCTTGTGTGCTCTAACACACATACTACATTTCTGTCTACTGAAAAACTAACTGTGTTATGCAAGTAGGAGGCTTCCTTGATACTAAGAGAGCAGCAGAAACATCCATTTACAAGTGCCTGATATTTTGCAACAGTTTATTTTTCCTAAAGTAAAGGTTGAGGGGGAACACCATGACAATTACTTTCACTGCCTTTTTCTTTTTCCTTTAAAAAGTGGGGAAATACACTGGGTTTTGTTTTGTGAAAAGTTTGGTGGAAAACTGCTGATCTAGAAATAATGCAAATGGAATCAACAGCCTACATTCAATTTTCCATTGCAAATAGTCACCTGAACCTAAGTTTTTTGTCTGCAAATATCAAGCCAAATTTGTGTGACTTAGAGCTTGAGGAAAGAGGAGCATATACCCTTCCTGTCTTCACTTAGTGTAAGCTTCAGCTTTTGTCAGTTTGGCTCTCGGGGTGGACAGTGGCTGTGCATACAAAGCCCTTCCTGGGTCGGTTCCTGCAGCTGAGGCTGCACAGCTGTCCCAGGACCTTGCGAAACCTCAGGTCTCAGTCCTGCAAGCTTCCAGCTTTTACAAACCAGCGCTGGAATCAGGAGGGTGACGAGTGCATGAAACAAAATCTTTTGCAGGCTCTTGCTCGCCTCTCCAGGCATTTGAGAATCTGGCCAACTGAAAATGTATCCCACATTTCCATATGTGGGAAAGTTTGGGGGATACGTCTCTTTCTTCTGGAAATGAATGTGGGATATCTATATGAAGTAAAATTGTTTGATGTAATATATGTCTCCAGCAGGAAACTCTAGTCAATAGTTATCAAAGTGATGAGGTGCTTTATTCCCCTGTTAATTCTTTTGAAAAAAATTGTATCAAAATGCTGTTCATGTAGAACAATGTGCCTTTTATTCCCGTTTCTAGTTGAATGGAGGAGTTGCTATCAGAGAAGCTAATGCATACTGTGGAAATAATCTGTTTCCTTGAAAATATATTACCTTACTTACAGGTCTACAAGAAAAAATAAAATAATACAGTTTGGATACAGAACTGTGTAATGGAAAAAGAATATACGATTTTGAAAAATCACTGTTGTATACCCTGCAGCTGGCTATTTTTTGAAATAAAATTCTGTTAATTAACAACCATGGTTTTCAGACTTACAGGAATTTCTGATAATATTGCAACTCATTTGTGCCAACTGTGAAGTTGATAACAGTTAGCACAGTGCACAGCTGAAACGCTCAGGATGCTGTATGAAGCAGAGTAGCCATCAGGTTCTTCTGGCACCTTATGCCAGACTTCATGGATCAGGTTTGGGGTTTTTTTAGAGAACAAAACAATCCCATTTTGGGTATCTGGTACAAAAACATGCTAGCCATTCATCTGTGTGTTTTTTAAAAATTGTTCTGATTATCCTTTTCTCTGCTTTGATAGTCAAATGGAGAAGCTTTCCCAATATTCAACAAAATGTTGCAGGCAGTTTTTGCTTCCCTGCAAAAAGCTGGGTCAGGGCCAGTTCCTTCCTTTGGGTTGTTGCACTGGTGCAAACCCTGAGGGAGTTGTGTAATGAAGATAAAATTTGGCCAAGGATTTGAACATTAAAGAAAAATAATTCAATGTGCATATGAAATCTGCTTGCTGAGTGAGTCTCCTCTATTCCTGCAAATTTTGGAAATATTTTAGTGCATTAAAGGGACATTTTACAGCACCACGCCTACAATGCATAGTTTCCAGTTATAGTATGGAGTCCTGGCAATTCTGTCACATTGTTTTTCCCAAAGTTAGCACCATAACAGTAAATTTTCTCAATGAAATGGAGACAGATGTCTCCATGTCTCTGTTGCCCAGCTATAAGATGCAATGACTGTCACAGAGTTTTACTTGGTCTAGGCATTGGTGCAACAGGGTTGTTCTTTCTAAGCAGGACATATTTCCTGGCTGGGATCAGAGTTCTTAGCACCTCATAAGAGCCAAGATAATTACAGGCTGAACATGACCCCTTCTTACCACCACCCACACTTGCTCTCACCCCTCCCAAACTTTGGCCTCAAATGAGGACAGAACGTCCGATGAGGAAAATCTAGCACAGAACCTGCACCAGACCTTTTCTCCATATTTCTTGATCTCATTACAGCAAGTACAGCTGATGTTTTTCATTTTTTCTTGTATCTTCCAGTAACAAAAGTCATCTGTGCTCAGCAGTGCTCCGGTCGGTGCAGGGGAAAGGTGCCCAGCGACTGCTGCCACAACCAGTGTGCCGCAGGGTGCACGGGGCCTCGGGAGAGTGACTGCCTGGTAAGGATGCTGCACCACCACCACAATGGCTTCAGGCCCTGACACGGCGAGCAGGGCTTTCAGCTTCATGTCCTCTAGACTTCTTCAGCCCCAGAAGGCCTCCCGAGGGATGCTGACCTGGAGGGTGCTCCAGGGCTTCCCTGCATGGGGGTTGGTGGGAGGGAAGATGACATGAACTTCACAGCACCCTGAGCTGGTCTTTACTGACTCTGCCCGTGGACCTTCCTAGTGTGTTCCAAACCAATGCTAGTGCCTTTGACTGCCCAGTGAGCTCAAAGTTGTTGCAGAGCATTTAAGTGTTCGCTGTAGGCAAGTTCCCCACAGGAACAGGCCCACAGCTGCCCCCATGGTGCAGCAGTTATCCTAGTACTCCAAAGCTGTAATCCATAGCTTTGCCTTGTACTCCTTAGCACTAGTCAGTAGTAATCTTGGTTTACTAAAGCAGGAACTTGTAAGGGAATTAAAGAAGTGATGGATCTTCATTTTTTTGCATTTCACCAAACTTCACGTGTGAAATCCAGGTTTCCCTTTCTGCTTTTAACTTGCCACAAAAGCACTGTATTTGGGGAGCCCTGGGGCAGTGAAGACAGAAGAAACAAATGGAGCTTCTTTAGGGAGTAAAGGTCCCATTGCTTTTCCACGAGAATTTAAGGGGTTTGCTGCATGCCATGGTTTTAACTCTTCCTCATGTTTGCTTTATACTTCATTGAGAATTAAGTGACATCTCAGTAATCACCACAGAAATCATCTGACCTGGATTTTATTGTTGTTACCTCTATTCCTGGTTTCCTTTTAAGATGGCTATGATCCCATTACTGGCTCACAGGGAAGACAGTTACTCTCTCTCATCTGGAAAGCTAGGGGAGAAGAAAGGGAAAAAGAGAGTCATTATTAATTTAATGCATATTTAGATTGGAAGAACCAACTTGCCCTTCATAAATGCCTGCTAAATTGTTCATTACCTGCAGCCAAATATAATGGCTTGAGTTTAATATTTAGCCAGAAAAGTCAGTAATTGGCAGGAAAGGACTTGATTTGATTTAGGTTATTAAAAACTGGCCAAGAAAAGTACAGTTTGTCTTGATCTGGTTGCTGCTTGTAAGGGAAAATTTTTCTGTCTAAGGCATGCAGATTTGCTTCTGTTCCCACGTGAATCCCAGCAGCTCTCCACCAGAATGCCAAGGTTTCTTGTTCAGAAAAAGAAAAGTTCATGGTTTCTTTTAAAAAAAATTACTGAACTCCATTGCCCAGCCTAAAGCAACCTTTCAACTTCAGAGCTTGAGGGACCATCCCTGTAGCTGCTTGGGGGTTCCGTTAGAGCTAAGCAGGAAGCAGATGAGGCCGTCAGACTGTTTTGAAGACCTGATGTACAATCGTTGTCACTTTTTAAGGAAAAGGTAGTTTAATGGGTGCTGTTGTTCAATGACAGGCATGTCGCAAGTTTCGGGATGATGCTACATGCAAGGATACATGTCCCCCATTGGTCTTGTATAACCCCACCACTTACCAGATGGATGTGAACCCTGAAGGAAAATACAGCTTTGGAGCCACTTGTGTGAAGGAATGTCCACGTAAGTTCATTTCAGGTTGCAGCCTTAGAGGAGGTGGGGTGTTGGAGAAAAAGGGGGAAGGGTCGTATGTCATCCCTCTGCATTTGTGATCAGGTGAAAAAGCACTTGTTCTCTTCAGTGTCTGTGGCAGCTGAGAACAGGTGACAAAGAGAGCTTCTTGAAACAGTCTGCATCCATCACCTTTCCCGGTTTTAAATCTTTGCATTTTGACTTCTGAACATTTTTCTTTTGGTGAAGAGAAAGGTGTCTTCTAAAAACTATTAAAACAATGGCTATATGGGATCAATGCTATGGATTACCAAAGCATTTTCAACTCTTAACTGGTTCTTAATTAGGACTGTTAAAAGTAATTGATTTTAACACTGTCTCAAGGACTGTGATCATTTTTTTCTCTACAGATGCTTGCTTTTCCTTTCTTACTGTTACATTTCTGTATTTTTTTAATCCATCAGGACTTTAATGTGGTTTCATCCTTCTGTGACCATTCCCCTCCCTGTAAAATGGTGATAGCACTGTATGTTCATCTACCTTCAAATGATGTTTGTGATGTTAATTCCTGTACTTTCCTGAGTGTGCCAAAAGCTCAAAACCCTTTTTTCTTACAAGTCTTGAAGTGCTTGTCTGGCCCTCAAAGCATCCCTCTTGTATTTCAGTCACCTTTTGTATCCTTTTTTTTTCCAGACAACTACGTGGTAACAGACCACGGCTCCTGTGTTCGCTCGTGCAACGCTGATACTTACGAAGTGGAAGAAAATGGTGTTCGGAAGTGTAAAAAGTGTGATGGGCTATGCAGCAAAGGTGAAAAAAGCATGAAATAAACCAGTGAGGCTTTGGGATGATAGAGAACTTACTAGGAAAAGTGCAGGGAGATCTGATCTTAGTTAAGTGCAAACTCAATATAAATCAGATCCAGTAATACTCTGGAGATCTGACAAGAGGTTTGATCAGGAAGCATGACTGTGGAGCATGCTCTCCAGGTGGGATACACCACAAGTACAGTAGATAAAACTGTGTTGTGTGCATGTATATCTTGCACACCAGCCTTCTCCTCCATTTGTCCTTCCCTGTGTCTCATCAAGGGGAATGGAAATGTGACAAAGAGAAAAGAGGATATGCTAGAGCTTGTGTGCAGAGATGCTTAGACCAGAGCTGCACCAAGCTGGGCAAGCAGGAAGCAGTTATCCTGTGGCACTTTCTGAAAAGCAAAAATAGGCAAAAGATCCATGAAACTCATCTTAGAGTGGCTGGTTTGACTATATGGGAATTCTTCCTGAACTTGTGGCACCTCCATGTTTCTACCCTGCCATGTGACTGGGCTTCACTTTTGTCCCCCCTAACTTTTGTATCTCTCCTTTAACAGTGTGCAATGGCATTGGAATAGGTGAACTTAAAGGGATCCTCTCCATAAATGCCACAAATATCGACTCCTTCAAAAACTGCACCAAGATCAATGGGGATGTCAGCATTCTCCCAGTTGCATTTCTAGGGTGAGTTACCTGCTGGCCATCAAGCACTGAAAGAAAAAGGCTAGGGAAAATCCAGGCTAAGCTGTTCTTTTCCCAATTTCTCATTATGTTTGTTTCAGTGATGCCTTCACGAAGACGCTACCTTTGGATCCCAAGAAATTGGATGTCTTCAAAACAGTTAAAGAAATATCAGGTTAGCAGTGAATTTAAGCTGAGGTGTTTTTTGACTGATACTGCCAAAAACACAAATGGGGAGGACGGGAATTTTTTAAGCACATGAGGAGAAGTGCATGCAAAATGTTTCTTGTATCTGAGCTAACAAGGGTCACTCTTAACCAAGGTGGTCAGCAGCACATTGCCAGCATTACTCCCACATAACCCATACTGGTCTTCCATCCAAGGTGTGTGGTTTGGCCAGAACATCCCTTCTGCTGAACTGGCAGCCCTAGAGAAGAGTAAAGTCAGTGGAGATCCTCAGCCACCCAAGAAGCCTGTGATGATGTAGAGGCGTGCCACTCCAGCTAAAAAAAGCCAAGTGTGTTTCTATTTGTGGAAAACCTTTCAGCAGCTTCTTAGGGAAGCGTGCTCAGTGGCTTGCGTCATCCTTATGGAGACACCTTCTCCAGCCTGATGAGCCCTTCCTTGGGCTGAATGTGTCTCCATGAGCACAAAGCAGCCAGCAGAGCACTCAGCCACCATCTTGCACCAAGTATCAATTAAAAGTAATTGTGTTCAGCCCATTATGCAATGAATGTAACATCAGGGCTGGGTCTACAGACACAACTCCACTTCTCCTCTTCTCTCTCATCAGTATAGTTCCCCTTCAGGGTAGCACTGACTAACTACAGAGCTTCATAGAGCAGCCTGCAATTTTCCACATTCTCCCCTTCCTCCCAAACACCTCAGCTGAGTGGTGAATTCTGCTTGCCTCAGAAAATCCACTACAAGTAGCTGTTCTGCTCTGTTTCTGCTTTTCAGTTTTCCTCTTCCCTGAGGTCTGCTGAAAAATGAGGTGGCGTGCTGCCTTTCTCCCACAGATCCAGAGTCTGCAGCTTCTCAGCCAGGGTGTCTACTGGCAAGAGCCATCATTGCTGGTGACTCGGTGTGGCAGGATGTGCAGCTCACCGACATGCTCTGTTGCACTCCTAAGCCCTCATGGTGGGCTGAGAAGTAAACTGTTTATTAAACAAGGTTTAAAAATATCTCCTTGCTCCCTAAAATGTCATGTTAGACTTTGAGATCCTTCAGATAAGCATAGGGAAAGTACAAGTGCCTTTTCCTGGTGCAGGATTTGCTACAGGAGAAGGTTCTGCTGCCAGTACTAACAGTGAGTTTATTTCCATTATGGTTATTTTTTTAATCTTCTTTTCCTCTTGCAGGATTTTTGTTAATTCAAGCCTGGCCTGAGAATGCTACTGATCTCTATGCTTTCGAAAATCTGGAGATTATACGAGGCAGAACAAAGCAGCAGTAAGTAAATCATGTGCCACAGCCACTCTAAGAGAAACCCTGTTTTGAGCTGCTCTTGTCTGAGCACACCAAGGTTGCAAGCAGTGTGAGACTCAGGTGTCCCAAAACTGATGGAAAATGGGGCAAACCCTGCAAGGAGCAGAGCACCATCTCTGTAGCATAGCTAATGTGCCCTGGGAGTAAAGACCCTCAGTTCTGTGCCATGTATGGAGGGCTGCCCTGAGCCTGCTTTCAGGACCAGGGTTTCCCCCACCATCCTGGAAGCACAAGCAGAAAGTGCTCTTTACAGTCTGGAGTAGGTCATAATGTGATCAGAAGCACTATGGGATTTGAGGCAATTGGGCAGTTGTGGATGGAGCTGCCAAGCAGTGCAGACATCAGCAATGCTTCCAAGTGCCCTCCCTCCTAGGCTTGCCCCAGGAGGAAGAGTGACTTGGTGGACAAGAACAAAATAATAGCTGCTTTACCTACAACCATTGTTCCACATCACTTACTTGTCAGAACATGTGTGTCCTGACAGTTTTAGCTTAAAAAACCCTTGCAAAACCAAATGTATTGCAGTTGCTATGTAAGAGGCATGGTATGTACATGGCATTAAGTTTAGAAGGCTGAGCAGAATCTTGCTTGAAGAATATGCAGTTCACAGCAGGACGCATTTGACAACTAAAAGAAAAACATGCTGAGTAAATCCTGCTTACTAATGACCTTTCTTGCATGTTTTTTCTATTTGTCCTTCTCCATTTTAGTGGCCAGTATTCCCTTGCCGTTGTTAATTTGAAAATACAGTCCCTAGGGCTGCGCTCCCTCAAGGAAATAAGTGATGGAGATGTTGCCATTATGAAGAACAAGAACCTCTGCTATGCTGACACCATGGACTGGCACAGCCTGTTTGCAACTGAGAGCCAGAAAACGAAGATTTTACAGAATAGAGATAAAAATGAGTGTGGTAAGTGAGTGCTGCATTCCTGCTCGCCATCAAACCTTGTGCTGGAATTCAAAAGTAAGCTTGCGTTTTCATGATTCAAGCAAGGCTTTTTTCTCCATGTTCCTCTAGCTACAAAATTCATCGGTGATACTGCTTTAATAAAAGTGGTGAGGGAAGAGTGAGATTTTTTTTTTTTTTCCCCACCAAAATGTGGACTTTGTGGTGTCCAGCAAATCAGGAGCTTCTTCACTACTATGAACATAGTGAAGCCATGTCACTTAAAGGACACAAAAGTTAACTCCTAACACTGACTTTTTTTAACAAGGTTGAAGCTGTTGTTCAACCATACTGCTATTGACTGCAATGGTCCCTGGGCCAAAATCTAATTATTTCTTTTTGCAGAATATGAATTTGTTGTATTTTAGAAATTTGTCATAGAAATACAGAATGGTTTGGGTGAGAAGGGACCTTTAAAGGTCATGTAGGCCAACCCCCTGCTGTGGGCAGTGATGTCTTTCACTAGACCAGGTTGCTCAGGGCCCCATCCAATCTGACCCTGAACTTCGAGGAATTAGGCGTGCACCAATTCTCTATGCAACTCAGTGTCTCACCACCCATTGCAACTATGTCTTCATTGTATCCATAAATCTATTTACTCTTTCTATTTAAAAGCATTTCACCGTGTGGAGTCACTACAGGCCTTGTTAAAAATTGTTACAAGTGCACTTCAAGTACAAAAATGCCCCAATAATGTTTCTCCAGAGCTGTCTCTTCCCCAGGGTGGACATCCCCAGCTCCCTCAGCCTGACTTAACTTTATTATACTTCTGTTAAGCTGCCACAGAGGAGATCATTCTTATTTTGAATGGCCAGAAATCACTGAATTTCAGGCTTTGGGATTTAGAGAAGCATGATTACTCCTCTTCCACTCTACCAGAACCATTCATATCTGTTTTGGAACAGGCTGGGGAAACTGGTTGGTCAGATGGAGTGAGAACGGAGAGTTTGACCTCTCTCTTACCTTGACATTCATGTCTTTTCTTGTCCCTCTTTCTCTCTCAGCTGCTGCCAAGCATGTTTGTGACCCCCTGTGCTCAGACATAGGCTGCTGGGGCCCAGGGCCCTTCCACTGCTTCTCCTGCAGGTTTTTTGATCGTCAGAAGGAATGTGTTAAACAGTGCAACATCCTGCAAGGGTAAGGTGTCTCAGGGGTGCTCTAGGTTTTTGTAATGGTGTGGGGGCTTTGGTTTTTAAAATGCTTTGTAGCTAGAAAGAGAGCAAGAAGCTGGGTCTCTGGTTGCATGGGATTGCCTCAGCTTGCGGAGACATTGTGTGAACAGTGAGACAGTACCTAGCTAAGGTATCTCTCCTGCCCCATTCACTATTGCTTAGGAGTTTGCTCCTGACATGGTGACTGCTAATAAAACATCCCCTTAAGCCCACAAGGAGACTATTTGGAGGCCCAAGGATGCCTTGGGCTTCCTTCCCATAGGAAAGAAAGGAGTTTAAAGCTCAATCTGTGGCTGTCATGTCAAGTACACTGTGTGAGAGCCAGAGCCATTTAGAATCTCTGGGAGCTCAGTCATCCCCAGAGCCAGGACTTCGTGGCTTGATAGACTTCTTTCCTCTTGTATTTGCTCAGATGAGCTGCTCACTCTTGCAGTTTGCAAAGCTGCAGTCAAGGAAGAATGAACTTTCATCTGAAAATGACTGAGAGCAGCAATTTCAGACAAAATTATTGCCTCAGCCTCACTCAGGACATGGAAAAAATATTGCTGCCTTGTGTGTCAATTCAACAGGTGATGTAGGTGGAAAAGGCATGTCTAGCAGCAAAATTACAAAGTTTGACTTTTAAAGCTCCTGAGTATTAAGCAAGTACTTGTCAGAGTGCTAAGGCCTCTGATGTTTGTATTTCTCTAGTGGTTTGCAGTGCAGCTGCCTTTTTTTTTTAAAGTGAATTCCCTCTAGCAGCTATTATAACCTGAAGGGCAGATCAGGGCATTATTTTGTGTCAAATGATGGGTAGATTTAGCTTAATTAATAACACCATTACTTGAAGTGGAACAGCTTTATTGCTATTAAAACCATCTGTTCCCAACTTTCATATTTTAATGATTCATTGTGTGTTGTAGAGAGGACATGAATTTAATTATCAGTACCTTGCTGTTTAACTTTCCTAATTATTATTTGTTGCCTTGGAATTACTTGAACTATTTTTGCTGATCTCTTTGCATCACTACCATTTAAAAGCCTCTAGAAATGGTTGTGAGTATTCTGTGACATTAGCTTAAAAGAGAAAGGAAACTAATTTGTAGTGTGCAGTCTGGAGTGCCATGTGTTTCACTGTCAACCAAATTTCCCTTACTCTTACGTCCTGGTTGCACTGAGCAAGTGCTACTGGTGTAGCCAAGAGGGTCCCTCCTCTTGTCTGAGCATCATCATCATCATCATCTCAATCAAATGTGGAAAAGTCTGGAATAGGAGTGAAGACCATGATTTATCACTTGCTATTATTTCTAAGGTTTAATTGTTTCTCTTTTTTGTTGTTGTTGTTTTCCAGGGAGCCAAGAGAGTTTGAAAAGAACTCCAAGTGCCTCCCATGCCACCCTGAGTGCCTGGTGCAAAACTCCACCATGTACAATGCAACCTGCACTGGACCTGTAAGAGCAGATTCATCTTAGCAAACCTGAGCCTCAGATCACATATTAATATGTATTTCCCATGTTCAGATAATCCTGAGGTCTCATTTTAACCCTATTTGAGGTGAAGCAGAGAATGGAGGTAGTTAGAAATCAAGATCTTTGGGCAAGGGAGCAGGATAGGAACCTCAGGGTGTTATTTTCTGACAGGTAATCCACAGTCACAGACATTGCAGAGTCTTTAATATTTTTTAAAATATTAAATTTTGTATTTTAAAAAAATACTTACTTTGGCAAATATGGCAAAAATTTGAGTAACATGTAACCACTCAAAGTTGGTGTGAAGACATTAGAATCAAACTCAGATCTTAATTGCAAAAATCTAGTTCTCTCTTTTTTTTTTTTTTTTTTTTTGAGATCAAATCTCTTTCTTCCATCACAGGTCCACCTCTGTGTTATTTAGCCCAACTCTTTAAACACCTCTTGCCACCACCAACAGCCTCTGAGTGTTTGACCCTTGCTCATTGTTGTGGTTTAGGAATGGTACTCTCCAACTTAGTACTCCCACTGGGACTCTCCAAATGACAAGCCACTCACTCACTCCCTCCCTGCCTTCCCCTGTGGCAGGCTGGAGAGGAGGACTGGAGGCATAAGAGGGGAAAATCATGGATTGAGATAAGAACAATTTACTGGAAACAGCAATGAGATAAGAAAAGGAGCAGTAACAGCAACATTAGTAACAGTGTACAAGAAAGGTGAAAGATTCTGATCAGCATTACCCCACTGTTTCCTCTACCATGCTTGCTCAACCAGAAGGAACCCCTTCTCCCCAGAAGAAACTCCTTCCCCCTGCCCCTGGGGGAAGGAGGTATAAATGAGGGGGTATAGAATAATCCCCATGTCCTAGCCATGCCCCTCCTGGCTGCTGCAAAAATTAACCCTATCCTGTCAAGAACAAGGACACCCATCATCAGTTTGAAGAGTCACTGCGCAGTAATGTGAAGCATTTCCATCCTCTCTCCTAGCACCATGGCCTCAAGGATGCTATTTATATTATAAACTCCTTTAGGAGTGACCCCCTGTTCCATATATGCCTAGCATCTACTAATCAGTCTATTATAGTGGCCCTTAGACATTACAGTGATTAAAATAATCTTCCTATAGCGTGTCTTACTTTTGTCCCACTGCAACCAGCACTATGGATCCTGTCTGGTTTTTCTCCACAGTAGAATTTGGCCCACAATTGCTGGTTCCCCTGCTTTAAAATATTTAGGTCATTCATGGTGCTGTTACAGTCTTAATAAAAACAGCTCTGTCAAAAATGGCCTAAGGCAATGCCTTTAAATACAAACAAGTGCTTTTCAAAGTGGAAAAAAAATACATGGACTCCTTGGGTTGCCTTCATCATCCTATGCTTCTTCCTAACAGAGGAAAGAACCTGTGATGAGAAACCAGAAAAATAATGATTTGATTCCAGTTTTCAGGGAGGTCTATATCCGCTATTTTAAATTATGTGACAGTAGATTGCACCAGGTAGCAACCAATCTGTCTGCTTTTCAGCTGGTCCCTTATCAAGGTGTCATTAAATTCTTCCCCATTTAAAATGCAAAACACAGGTTTTCCAACCAGACAGAAGACAGAGGTGAAAAAGAAGCAACATTGTAATGCAAGAAAATATTAGCTTTAAGCAATAGGAACTGTCTTTTGTATGGTCCATCCTGCAAGAGGAATTGCTTGCAAGAATATCAGGTAGCAAGGTAATAAAACCAGACAATGCTGAAAACTTTCAGCAGTAAAAGGCATTTAGATTTATCTTCTGAATTTCTTCCTGAATAGGCTGATGTAAGGGCATTATAAACAAGTTGTTTCTCTTTGCAGGGCCCTGACAATTGCATGAAGTGTGCCCATTTCATAGATGGCCCTCACTGTGTGAAATCATGCCCAGCAGGGGTTTTGGGTGAGAATGACACCCTCGTCTGGAAATATGCTGATGGGAATAATGTTTGCCAGCTCTGCCATCCAAACTGCACCCGGGGGTGAGTAAAACCTGGGACTGAATAGTGACAGGGAAGAAAAGAAACAGGGAAACAGCTTGTCTCGAGCTCTTTCTCCTCCTGACAGTCCCATGTCAAACCACTGAGAAGAACTAGCAGGGAGCAAGAGAGATCAGGAGGACATGGTTAATGTAAGCAGAGTGTGGCAAACTTTGTAAGTAGGAAAAGATCAGTGGTACTTTGTCTTTATGCAGAAGGAAAGAAAAAAAATAGTTTAAAGAGTTTGAAACAGGCTTGTTTGATAACTTGAAAGAATTTTACAGGACTCACCCACCAGTGATGCACCCTTTTTTCCCCACCTGGCTTGTTGATGTGTCCTCTGGTTTTGAGAGGAACATCAGTGACATCTGGTGGATGCTGGGTTCCCAGAGCCCATTTTTCTGTGCACCTTTCAACTTTCAGGAGGGAAATCCCAGTGATTTCCCTTTTTTCCTTCTTTCCATGTGCTAGCACTTGGTCTGAGTTTAAAGCCTTGTGAGTGTGGCTTTTCTAACAAGAATCACAGTAAATCCAATCTATATCAGCCAGTTTTTCCTCTTAAAAATGGTTGCTTAAACTGCAACCTGCAACAAGGTGTAATTGTTTAACCTACATCACAAGTGGTAATGGTCTTGTCTCCTGATTTCCAACCTACAAAAGACATGGGATGCACGGGAAAAGGTTTTAGGGTTTGAGAGCTGGTTATTGGACTGTGATGCTTTCAGAGCAAAAAGCTCATGTTTGGTGTATTTTCCTTCACATGCCTCTGCTATTTACCCTGCAAGTTTGTCTGATCCAAAATCTTTCTATAATAAGCCCATAATAAATGTTGCAAGAGTGGAATTGTAACATACTCAGACCAACCATCACATTGTATGTTAGCTAATCCAACTGCCAGTTCCCCACCTTCATGGGAAAAAGGAGCTGAAGGGTGGAATCAGCAAGGAACAGCCCTTTCAAGTGCTCGTAGTGAAATTCAGTGCAATGGATTTCAGACAGTAGTTATACCAGCTTGCTGGATTTGCCATGATTTACAGCTATGGCCCTTGCTTTTTCTATAGTCACAGACAAGGCTTATCAGGGCTTCCCACTGCAAGCCCAGGAAGAAATTTCCTCAGTTGAAAAGGGATGATAATACGGTTGCTCTTTATTAATGTCTTCAGTAGTCCCTACTGATACGAACTGGCCACAGTGGTCTGATATCCTCCTTCTAACTGGCCACATGGAAATGCAGCTGGTTAGTGGAATAGTGTAATGAGCAACCATATCTGAACAAGGCTTTTTTTTTTTTTCACTGTGCAGCCTCAGTAGTGAGATCAAACACTAGACTCAAATGCAGATTTGGAGAACATAATTTGCCAGACAGGGATGTAAAACAAGCCACACAGTGGCTCTTAGTGCACAAGCAAGTTCCCCAAGCAGAATTGATCAGAGAAGTCAATTCCTGCCTTGCTTTAGCAGTGTATGGGGGAACCACAAGAGTCAGGCAGAAGATGAGGTTACAGTAAGGAGACATTTTTAAAATGAGGATTATCCAACATATGCCTCAGTGTATTTGGCCATGTGTTATTAAGGCAGAATATAAAATGTAGTATCAATTTCATCTTTCACATGAAAGAGGCTGGGCTGAGTTTGCATCAGTTACATTGTGAACATGCTCAATAGGCCAATTCAAATTGATGCCCAAATGTGGCAGATGAAATAGGCTGTATCCCTGAAGGGCTCAAGAGAGATGGAAGGAGGTAGTGTTGCAATATTTGCTATACAGATGAGACATCTGTGGCCATGGATGAGTAGGGAGCCAGTGTCAGGGTTATAATATGGGAACGTGCAGTCAAGCACAGCATTGTCCCTCTGAAGACAATCCATCAGCAATGCCATTTCTCTTCACGCCTTTCTCTCATTTTGCTGTGGGAATGGATCTGTTCAGCAGTGGGTGGAAAACATCTGTCTCACAAAGCTTTTGCATCCTTAGAAACCACTGTCTCAGCGATTCCTGCATGACAAGAAACAACAACTTCATTTCTGTCCCTGTCCAATTTCACGGCTAGAGCCCACAAAATCTTATCAGCATGATTAAGTGTGCTGACTTCAGTAGTCAGTAGTCATGCAAGCAAAGGTTCCCAGGATCTCTCTCTGTTTTCCTTATTTGAAGAAGCTTCAAGTAAAAGACTTCTCTTCCCATCTGAGTTGTGTCAGGAATTTCATTTTTTCGCTTTAGGTATGCGTACTGGTTGTACATTGCTTCTTTTGCAATGCCATGAAGAATTCCTTTGAGCCTCATTTTCTTTGCTGAGTCCATTTTTCAGCCTTCGTTAGGAAACAAAATGAAGGATGCTTTCTCCTGCTTAGCTCAAAAGACCCCTTCTCTCCCAATTCTCCTGTATTCTCTTGGGGATTTTGTACACAAGCTTCCTTTTGCCCTGCCTCTAGTGCAGCTGAGAATATATGCTGTGATAAAGAAAGCAACATCTCAAAAGCCCATCAATTAAAGACGCTCACCATCTTAATTAATCTGATCAGTGTTGAAGGATTTCCCTTGCCAGTCTCACAAAGTGCAGGAAATAAACTCAGACACAGCCACAGGGGTGGATAAGCATGGAGGAGAAGAAGCCACCACTGTAGCCAACACCACTGGCTGGCACATCCTGCCTCCATCCACAGTTGCTGTCAATACTCTGTGTCTCACCAGTCTTCATTTTAAATGCTAAGGGATTGTTGGGGGAGATGAGAAAGTGGCCAGGGGATCTGAGAGGGAAGGCTGCAGAAACACAGCACAAATTCTATGCCTTTGTCACTCTTGGAAGGTTACTTAGAAAGAAAGGACAAAGTAAAATTTTTGTAAAGTTTTAAAAGATTTTAAAATTGTTTTCCATTTCTTTTATGATTGTGAAGTAACTTAGGCTGTTATAGTGTGAGTCCCCTCTGAAAGGCCATCAGTCATGACAACTTGATTGTGTTACATCAAATTAGGAACTATAGGTTCAAGGAAATGGATTTAGGAAATAAACAGCTGTGTGTGCACCAGGACAAGTAATATTTACACAGACGGGTAAAACGTGTAGTTCAGGAAAAAGTAGTTTTCAGGAGCTGTACACAGAACTAATTTTCCAGTAAGTAGAGAAATATATCTAGGCCTACAACTGCTGTTATATTCATCTCATATATCCATAAGATCTTGAGTTACTTCATAACATAAGGTCACATTTGTCTTTTTGGTTTCTGTAAGCAGAAGAAAAATTACTCAGGAATGGAAAACGTGATTGTTCAGATTCCATAAAATCTGGGTTACTTATGTAGGGTGTCATCATAAAATTCCACGTTAAGAAAGATATGTAGTCCTGGAGTGATAATTCTTATGGGCTTTGTTTCTTCTCTGACTTGTGAAATTAATCAGAAAACCAAGTGGGATTTGAAAAGCACAAGCTGATTTCTGTATTTCTTCCCAGAAACCTTTATCCTACAAGACTTGATATTGATGGATTTGTGTGGGAAAAGGAAGGGAATTGATAAAAATCTCCAGTTCTCCTGCTTCTACTTTGATGTGTAACAGAAGAACTGGTCAGTCATTCCTCAGACTCTAGCTACAATCCCCTCAGCCAGTTTTGTTTGCTGTTAGGAAGCACATAGAGAACTTGAGGTCTTAAAGTAGCATGGCAAACCAGAATTTTGAGGAAGACATCCTCTGAGGGACAGTAGTCATATTCTGAAATTAGGTGAAGTCTTCTAATTTCACATTCTTATCAAGAGCAGGTGCATATGTTTTTTTGCATTACAAATTCATATCTGGCAGGTAGACCACGACTGGATGAGGTCTGGAGTCCTAGATCAGTTTTCCACTGAGCACCTGAAAAGAGAAGCCCAAGGCAAGATCTGCCTCCCATGATGATAAGGGAGCTGGTGGCTCTGCTCTGCACATGCAGCCTCTCTGTGCTTAGTTGCACAACTGAGCAAACAAAGCAAGCTGTATGCTGGTAGGAAAGCTAACGAGGCTGAGGACCCGGAATCCGGGAATTGGTATGCACAGCACTTCCAGCATGTCCAGGACACCAGGATGCACATTCTTGCATGGGAGCCCAGTGAACTTACAAGACCTTCCAGATGCTGGGTCTTGGAGCACTGTGTTGGCCCAGAAACAAGACAAATACACAAGGGAAGATCCGAGTAATGAAAACAAACAAACAAACAAACTAAAACCGAGTAAAATGAGTAGTTGCTTCACTTCTTCCTTCCCCAGACCTAGTCCAAGTTACGAGAGAAGATGTGCAACTCTACCTGGCATTTTGAAATTTTTTTGCTTCCTCCTGTCAGTGAGAGGGATTCCAGAGCAGTTTTCCAGGCATGGACTCACTCCTTACCCCCTATTTGACCTCCTCTGGAATTGTTTTGGGATGATCCATTTTCTTTAAGTCAGCGCAGGGAGCGGATACCACAAACTGGACTTTACTCCTTTCCTGTGCTCTATTTTCTCGAGGTGATGTCACTCTCTCAATAATGCTCTCCTTCCCCAGTAGACACCACAAAGACCACAATTCCCATGAAGAGCATACATCTTACAGCCCAGCAGCACCTGGGGAATGCACTGTGCCTCTCACACTCATTAGACCATCAAGTGAACACAGTCACTGTGTTTTCATCTGTGTTTTTTTTTTCACTGTGCTGCCAAAATTTTGAGCATTTTAAACTCAAATGGAGGGTGAATGACTTGCTAGTAGAGTTCCTGGCTCCCTGGATAACAATTGTACCTGTTTACATTGCCAGTAATATAAGACTTCGGATTCTAAAGGAAAAATACCATGGACACATGCCAACAAACTGTAGCCAGAGAGAGTGCTATCAAGTCCCATTTTTTGATGGAAGTCTATGTATCTGTTACCCAAGTTTTCCATTGAAATAGGAAGTCTGGAAATTGAAATCTTTACCTTATCAGCAAACAAGGATTATGCAGGAGGGTCTGCAATGGCATGTTTCCACATGTATTTCTGTCCGTGTGGGAGAAGGCGGCTACTTCTGTCCTCCTCCACATTCAGCTCTGGGCTCTGCACCAAGATACGGAATCCATGAATTTTGTGTACCTATGTCCTCTCCCACTCCTACCACATGCTAAAAAAATTGTTTTAAAACATTCTTTAAACTAAGTATGCAGCGTAGCTATTTCTCTAGATAAAAGATTTTGGAGCAAGGTTGTTGACTGATATTTAATGGAGTGTATGACTATTATAAATTCCTATGTTAACACTTGGACTGCTCTGAAACACAAACTTTCAAATCAGTAGCACTCTTCTTAGTTGGAATTACAGAAGCATGTAGGCCAGAGTTACTATGTTTGTAACATTCATTTGTTTTTACAGGTGCAAAGGACCAGGTCTTGAAGGCTGTCCAAATGGGTGAGTATTTCATCTGCTACAATTAATGGCAGAGCTGGAAGGAATGTGTGTGTGTGTGTTTACATTTCCACACTGGACACTGCAAGGCTGGGACTAAAGTCTTCAGCTGTTCACAGGGAAGTGACAGATTAGAGCAGGCTCAGAGCTACAAAAATGGTTTAAAGAACTGATAAAAAGTCTGGCACAAGACTTCAAAATCTTGTTCTGCCTACAATTTTTGTCAAGGTGAGGCCAGGGATCTGTTACTGAAGAATAAAAGGAAGGGATGGAAAAAGAAAGGATTAAGGACAAAGAGAGATATGTTTAGGACTGATATAGTTACCTGTGTTACAGGAGACTCAGAGATGCAGAGGGTCTTTTCCAGCCCTGTGATCTGTACATCTCCAAATACTGTGTTCCCCATTGGATTCTCATTCATGACACTCAGACTACATCTTAAATCACACTGTTTGGCTTCATTATGTGCTCGAGGTGATGCAACAAGCAAACAGTCTTCTCTGACTGAGAGTGATTTTTCTGGCCACAAAGTCATGCTATGGCAAGATAAATTCAGCCTAGAAGTACTGTTAAAAACTGACTGCATTTAATATCAATCCCTGAGGCAACTTAGAAAAATGCTGGGAAGAATCTCTAAGTACAGACCAAAAAACAACTTTGGAAAACAGGTTTTCCTTTTCAACTTAAATTTGCAGTTACCCAGGCTCTAATAAAGAGGCAGCAATCTGTGTGTACAGTGGGAATGGTACACAATACCTTTGTACTTGTAAGGAAGACCGACGATCTGACGTTCACTGTGACCCTTACAGCGTGCCCCCCTTCCCCCCCAATATGGGGGGATATCAGCTGCACTGCTGACATCCCAACTGTGTATGCCTTTCTGAGAGGCCTTCTCTCCACATGCTTCATGTCTCTGATCACACGTGGGCTGCCCACAGCTGGCACACATAGGCATCACAGATCTTATGCTCATGTGCTTGGTGGGTTTGTTGGAGGGAGGAGAAATCCCCTCACTTAAGCTATGAGGATCAGTTCCAGTTGTGAGTTTGAGGGAAGAATGAAGACTTGTGGTTTAAGCCCAGATGGAAATTAAGCACCACTTTGAACAGATTACTGGATGAGGGACTTAACAATACAGGTGCCCAAAAAACCTGAAATATCAAATAGGCTTATGTGGGCATCCAGAAACAAAACATAAGGCTTCCTGCAACCTCTGTAGAGCTTTAAAATCTAACACCTAAGAATCTTTTCTCTTTCTGCCTCCCCTCCTGTGCTGCAGCTCCAAGATCCCCTCTATCGCCGCTGGTGTTGTCGGAGGGCTCCTGTGCCTGGTGGTGGTGGGCCTGGGCATCGGCCTGTACCTGCGGAGACGCCACATCGTCAGGAAGCGCACCCTGCGCCGGCTGCTGCAGGAGAGGGAGGTGAGCAGCCCCCCTGCTTCATCTGGCCCAGTGGGGTCCTCCTCCTTGTGCCAGAGGATTAAAGCACCCTGCATCTGTATCCTGCATCCTTGTAGCTCAGCAATCCCGTGGGATGGGAAACGTGGCAGTTGCCACACTGCTCAGGAAAGGAGCAGCATGCACTTAACACCTTCTCAGTCTCAAAGCTGATCCCTCTGCATATAATTTGCAAAATATTTAAGGGATTCAGATGTCTCAATCCCAAGGAAAGTCATTGAGATTGTCTACTCAGAAAAAACTACACCTTCAGGTTGAGGTGCAGTGTGTTTGCTGATCCATACTGCCTTCCTGTGTAGACCTTCAGCCTCAAACTGTGCATCCCTCCAAACAAGCCTTGAAGCTCCTGTGGCAGCTTGGGGTGCTTTTGAAAATATTTCCCCCTTGATCAGGTGCGTGCCTGATCCTGTGGAAAAAAAGGAGAGGAGGTAAAGGAATTGAGGAAGTGTTTGTGTCTAGTCTTTGGTTTGTTTTTAGCACAAAATGCCCACAAAGCCATCAAAGTGAACAGTTCACTCTGTTGGGCATGAACAAGGCTTCTGCACTGCTCTTTGTTTTTGTGTGCATTACAGCATCACCCTCTGGATACCTCATATACAGAAAAATTCCTAATCCTGTGTGGAAGCTGCTCTTTTGTGGTTAGCTCCCTTCTCTTTCTAGTCTGGTTCTAGCAAATTAGACAATTGTTTTTAACATTCTGCTAAAAACCCAATTGTAGCTTCGTTTTGTACTTGCCAGCTTTGCAGAGTCAGCTGCTAAAATCCTTAAAAAAAAAAAAAGAAAAGAAAGAAAAGAAAAAGACAAGCTGGCTTGTTTTTCATTGCGCTATGAAACTATATTTTACATACTGCTGTATTCTGCAGTTGTGATAGTACAGTTCAATTTGTGCTCAGCTCGTATTGTACCCTCTGGGCTCCTCAAAATGAGGATATTTATCACAACAGAGAGGCTGCTGGTCCTCTAAAATCAGATTGAATCTAGCTAAATATGGTTTTATTCAAAGAAAAAGCAGAAGGAAAAACACTAAGGAAAAAGCTGACTTATGCATCATAAAAGCATTAAATATCTTTAGAGGGCATTACCACAATTTGCAATAAGGCTAAGATAAAATTTTGAAAAAAAAATAGGCAATTCAACATCCTTTTTTTTTGAGGAAAGAAACACTGTCAGAGTTTCAATTGCTGCTTGTACACTGCATGATCTGAGGGAACTACTGGTACCATGGGAATTTTATCCAGTTAAACAAGAGCAGACATGAAAGGTTGAAGGTGATTCTTGCCCATTATTTTAAACATTTTAATAATTTATTCACAAGTTCAAAACAAAAATAATCTCCTTTAGCATCTGTGGTAATTACATGATTTTTCAAGCCATGTGTTTCAAGGCTTTGAAGTCATAGCCTCCATTTGAGAAGAGGTATTCCTTCATTATCCCTCAAAATGGCAGCTGCCACTCTATGCTTGATTTTTGGAGCAGGTATTTATTCCTGCAAGTCAGAGCAGAACTATCCTCCCAAAAACTTCACATGGAATCAAGTGTTCATTATTTTAAAGGAAAGATTTATTTGCTTCCCCAAAGTGTTCAACCTTCCACTGTGTAACCTTCTAACATCATCTTCTCTCTGCACCAGCTTGTTGAACCACTGACACCCAGTGGGGAGGCACCAAACCAGGCTCATCTGAGAATTCTAAAGGAAACAGAATTTAAAAAGGTCAAAGTTTTAGGCTCTGGAGCTTTTGGCACTGTTTATAAGGTAAGATCATCGTTTTTCTATTCCCCTCTTCATTCTGTTCCCTCCTGCAGAAGCTGCCCAAACAAAGCAAGAACTGGGAGCTTCAATCATTATGTAATTTTTTTTTAAACTAGATTTTATAGCATGTATCTATCTATTGAAGGGTAGAGAGATTACTCAATCATCATTAGTTTTGTTAGAAATTGGCTAACAGGAGAAGGTTTACATAAAATGTTACCAAAGTCATACTGCTGAACCTGGAGAACAAAGATCATGACTTAAAAACTACCACAGTCAGATACACCCCACTGTAAATATTAAGAAGAAAAAGAAATGCATTGTGGTTAGCTCAGTGCAAAACCATTTTTTCTGTGTCATCTGGGATCTTCTTTTTATATTTTTCAATCATTTTTTCATTAGAACTGATTCAGATTGTGAAAGTGTCTTCACACCTTCAGTTGTGTAGGTTCACCAGTTATTTTTTCTCTTGGTGTTTGTTTATCCTCTGTGCTTCTTCATTAAGTTCCTCCTTTTATTCAGGATATGTGTTTCACGCTTTTCTATTAACTGTAGATTCCTATATTTCTTTATAAGGCTCTATATTCTGAATCAGACATCCAGCTATGATTAGGAACTTCAGGGTCACTAAAAGATGTGCACCTGCACTGCTGGGGTTTTCAGTAGCATATCCTCCCAGTGCCACACTGCTGACCTGCCACCTAAATGGCCTCCTGACACTTCAGATGTAGAGCACTGCACCAGTGGGACATAGACTTCCCTACCATTGCATGTGTATGACTGGATTGTTTGTACAGTATAGGTGCCATCTGGTTTTAATGAGAAAATGCTAATTATTTTCATCCCATGATTTATAAATTGGAAGTGGCCAGGTTTTGCACATGCAGTTGCTGTGATGCTCTAATTAGTTAGATTTCCATCCACAAATGTTGCTCTTTATGCATTTCTTGGGCTGTTTACACAGGCATAGTAATGAATAAGTTTTTTCAAGAAAGTATGGTAGAGGTGACTGAAAAAGAAGTACCACCCCATTAACAGGAATTTGGTAATACCCACAAGACACAGTTTTTGCATATTTTTGTTGTCTGCCACGTCTTTTCATTGCTCAGAATATTTAAGTCTACTCAGAAGATGTAAAATATATGTGTAACTGTGAGAATTAACTTGTTAGGTATGAGACTGAATAACTCTTTGTACTTCTTTTTGGTAGGGACTATGGATCCCAGAAGGAGAGAAGGTTAAAATTCCTGTTGCTATTAAAGAGTTGAGAGAGGCTACATCACCAAAAGCCAACAAGGAAATACTTGATGTGAGTTTTCATATTTGTTTTCTCAAGTTGCCAGTGGTCTGTGGATTTTCTTCTCTAACAACTAGAGGGGTTTCAGGAATTTGTGTGGGAAGAAATATTTTGCATCCTAAATTCAACTGTCCATCTAGAAGTTCTGCACTTTGCAGCCCAGTCTGTGAAGTCCTTTTGTCTCTCTCATGAACCCAATCCCAATACAGATTTTATACTTGTGGGATAGGACCTAAGGAGTAGTCAGGATCACACATTTACAGATAATTATCTTTTCTTTATTCTGATATTTCAGGCCTTAAGCTGCAGCATTCATTGTCATTATGGTGGTACTACTAAGTCAAATAACAACAGACCTAATGATTTATGAATCAGACCTTCCCCAGGTCCCTACCTATGTGGCCCTCATTCCTGTCCCTCACCAGACTGTGATCCCTCCCTTCACTGGCATTCCCTGCATTGAGGAGCTGGCAGAGATGCTGCTCAGCTGCCTACCCTGAGCTCTGCCGTAGTTTGCTCTTCACAGTGATAAGGAGCATAACACAGCATTCATAAAGGATGCTTTGGACTTAATAGCATTAAATTCCTGAAGGCACGTATCCTGGAGGAAGGGTTAGTTAACAAGCCTATCGTACTTCATCCTTCCTACAGCAGATCAAGATCACTGGACAGGGCAGTAGATGCAGGGACTGTGTGCTCTTGAGTGGTATCAAAGTGCATTCTCTTCTAAAAGAAATTTCTGTAGCAAATCCCCACATTATATTTTCCTTTGAATTAGGAAGCTTATCAAAAAGCTCTTGCTTTTCCAGTCCTGTTAACTTTTAGATAATTTAGTTGGTGGAACTCTGTATGTCAGAACTAAATTTCAATAAATACAAAACGAGTGAAAGAAGCCAGAGGGATGACTCCAAAAGCACTTCTCAAAACAGATTTTTGCTACACAACCAATTTTCCAAGGTCACTGGCACCTCAAAGATAATAATGTCTAATTGAAGATGATTTGTCTTACAGAATCACACTAGGTATAGAACAAGCACAGCAACTTTAGCTCTTAATAATCCAGGCAAGCTCTGGCTGACTTTATTAGGGTAGGGTTAATTCAGAAGGTTGTTGTTAAATACCAAGCATATTTGGAGCAGGTCAGAGTGCACCCGAAGAGATTTCCAAGATAAACAGCTGCAACAAAGACCCACTTTAATGTCTTGGGCTACTTAGAGGGACCCATAACCACACAATAGCTCTGTTCTGCTTTTCAAGGAGGAGGGGGTGGCCTGTTTTCCTTTGCAGTATCAAATGGTGGAGACGATCAGCATTTGGATGCTCTCTGAAGGCTGTGTGGCCCAAACGCCCACCCCGCTCCTGCAGTGTCCCCGTGCTCAGCCCCCAGGTCAGCCCCGCACGGGCTGTGTGGCAGATGGGCAGTGAGAACAGCTCCTCCTCTGCAGTCTTCCCCCCACCCTGCCCTGCCAAAATGAATACAATATGGATCTGAATCCCAGCAGGAAGCAAGGCATCCTTCATCATTACAATGGCTCAGTTTGGAAGCATAGGGAAATGAAGTTGTTTTGGTCTCTGCTTACGTATGAGCATTGGATAACAAATTTGTAAGAATTTCTAACAAATGATGCCACAAATATATACAAACTGAATAGCAGATTGTGTTGCTGCTTTATCTTTCCTTGAGCTAGCCCACACAATCAGTACTATCCATGGCAGAGGGCTGTTTTTCAATAGTGTGCCCACATCATGCAGTAGGTAGACGAGCTCTTACTAATTCTGATGGAGATCCTATTTAACCTGTCTGCCTGGAGACCATTTTCATCCTGAGGGCTCTGAAACAAGGATAACAAATTCAGAACTAGTACCTCAAAAGAGGCTGCATTACATCATGTTTTGCTTAGGCTGGCCCATTAAGCAACAACACAGAGGCCAGAAAGTATTGCTTAAGAATTGGGGTTGCTTATTTCTTAAACGTCATTGCCTTAATAACTTTGTTTAATAATAGTTCTCACCAGCTATGGAGCTATGTGACATCTGTGGAACGTTTGCTAGATGATGAGTAAAGTGCTATGGTATTTATTTTCTTAAGCTCTTAGAAAGAGCAGATTTGCTCTTTCCCTTGCACTACTCGTGTCTTTGCTATGATTTTAGGCTTTGGGGAACTGCTAGCCTGAATTGCAAAAGGATGATTAGTAGGTGTTGCTCCAGATACTGAATCAAGATGCTGACCTGCTCACTGAATGGAAAAATTCCCATTCATTTCCCCTTGTGTTGCTTTTCAACCAAATCACTTCTAAAATATCTAAATGTGACGTATCGTAAATCAGTCGACACAAAGTTAGTTAAAGAAATGAAACAACTGCAGCTCTGATTTTTTTCCCCTGGAATACATTCTTTGAGCTGGCACTTGACCATGGATTTGAGTATAAATGCAGATCTCAAATTTCAATCTATAAGTAGTTTTTGCATAAAAAACCCATGAGATCAGGAATTTTTACCCCATGGCCATATTAAATAATGTATTTGAACCAGACTCTGAAGGGGTCTTTCCCTTCCCACAGAAGAACAAAAGAAGAGGAGGTATCTTGTGTGTTGTAGATAGGTACCTAAAGCTACACAGGGTGTACCCATATTTGAAAAAAGAGTTTTTCACATATTTATGAAACTAAACCCCAAAATTCCAGTTGACCAAAGGGTCTGTAATGCTTGGGCTCCCACATTCCAAGTATCTTTCTAGTATAATTTACATTGCTATATGAGTCTAAGCCAGCTTTTCCAATTGAGGGCAGCATTTTCACCATTGTTACTTAAAGAAAACATTCAAGCTTCTAAAGCAGTGAACTGATTATTAATCTATTTGGTCTGACATAGAATGAAGAACAGCATGGTCAAGAAGAACATGGTCTCTTAAAGAATAAGACTGTCAGTCACATTCTAGATGACAGCTTTTACTTTCTGGTTTAGTACCAATCTTGACAGGGGAGCAGAATTCTCAAAAATAGTGATTTCCAGTCAGTTTCATTGAGAGGTCTGTGGAGAAAAAAGCCATATGACACATGTTCATAAAATGAATTGTCCTTTCAATTAGGTGCTCAAAATTGTGAAATCTCATCAGCTTCCAGTTGGTGTTCAATTTATTAATTCCTCCTTCGTCTGGAAGTTTTAATCTCCCAGGATTTTATGCCCAATGTTTGCTTGGTGTACAGTAGTGAGAGACTGGCTCTTTTGTAGCATCTCAGCGATGATTTGGTGTTGAAAATCTGGACATTCCACTGAATGGAAAATAGTCAGTCCACAGAGTGGGAAATATGTGTATTTTGTATGTGATAGGAGACACAGAGTTTGCATATAGTATTTTAGCAACTTCTTGGATGACCAACTTATTTTAAATTGCCTCCAAATGTTCATGTCACGCCAAAGGGAGTGTTTCACATTTCTTTTTTTGCCTTTCTTCTCAGGAAGCTTATGTGATGGCTAGTGTTGACAATCCTCATGTGTGCCGCTTGTTGGGCATCTGCCTCACTTCAACTGTTCAGCTCATCACACAGCTGATGCCTTACGGCTGCCTCCTGGATTACATCCGAGAGCACAAGGACAACATCGGCTCTCAGTACCTCCTCAACTGGTGTGTGCAGATTGCAAAGGTGAGCAGACCAGAACTCCAGATCAGCTAAAACTCAGAGATCAGACAGCATGTAATTACCTGTCTCTGCAAATCTTTCTGTTTCACTACGTGGATCATAGGCATCTTATAAATGGCAGTAAACAGTTATTTTTCTTGAACAATTTACTGTTTTCATGCTGATGAGCAAACATTAACTATTCTTCAAAATGCTTCTAGGCAGCTTAATATTATCACCTAGACATTTATGTCCAAACCAAGCACCTGGTGTTGAAGGGATAATGCGATGCAAATGTGATGCAGCCCAGGCAGCAGGGAAGGCAACAGAAGAATTTGTCAATTTCCATAGCAAAATGCTGCTTCCATCAGTGGATTTCTTCGGGCTAAGTCACAGAACAGTGATGTTGAATACATCTTGAGGCCAGGGATCGAAACTGCTGACTGCTGAATCCCAGCTCTGTCCTTGCTCAGGCTGGCTTTCACCAAAAGACATTAAGGCACTCCAGAGCTATTCTGTAATTCATAGGTGCTGAGCTGGGATCTGTAACTGCAATGGCCATAAAAGTCTCATTATCATACCTGGTACTGTTTGCCAAAGTGCAGCAAAGGAACTGCAATACAGCCTCTAGCCCTTAGCAGCAATATGCTGTGTTTGGATGGTGGTTAGCCATTTGCAAGCATGGAAGAACAAAGCAAAACCAGCAAAAAAATGACTGCAATTTCTTGGAGATTCATCATATGAGATGGCAGTGTCCACAGAGCATGGTTGCTTTAATGCTTTTTATTTCAGGAATGCCAGTCTTCAGGAAAACCACACACTTAAAAACTTATTGGTCCCTTGAGGCCTTGTGTACATGCCAGGCTCTCCCAGCCGTGGTTTGCTTTCAGGAAACATGCTGAGGACCTCAGAAATGTATCCACCAAATGTCTATAGAGCACATTTTTCATCTCAGAGTACATTTTTTTTTTACATTTTGCTCCACAACAAGTGAAATCTAACTCATGTGTCCACCTGGGATGTGAGTTGCTTTTTTTCTGACTTTTTGTGACTTTTTTGCTTTCTTGTTTAAAATCAATTACTGCTCTGTCCTGGTTTCCGTCTCTTTGGAGGGTGAATTGGAGACTATATTTCCCTCCTCCTCCTTCTTCTCCTTGTTAATTTTTAAGGTGGCAAAATGTATCCCCAAATGGGTCCTTGGGGCATTGCTTGCCTGAAAGGTTGCCATTCACAATTGTTTGCTTTTGTTTGATTTTTTCATGTCAGTTCAACATTTGCCAATATCAACTTCTACCCTCACCAGTGATGCCTGACCTTCAACGTACTCCTTTGTGCTGCTCCAAGCTGAACTTTTCCTCAAAGCACTCATAAATCTTATGTATAGCTTTTTCCCACCAATGTGTCTGGTGTTACTACTCTGATAAAGTTATGCTAGATTTTTGAACAGTCTCTGACTCTTTAAAAATTTACTTATGAGTGGAAAAGAGAATTGAAACAAATACATGTCTGGTAACTAATCAGCAGGAGGCAAGTTCCCTGGGAAGCTTATTTTCATTACTGTTTTCACAGCTTTGAAATAAGTTTTCTTTGCATCTTTTACAAATATTATCTTTTCCTGAGGTATGGAGTCCTCTCTTCCAGGCAAGATGTTATAATAGTATAAACGCTCCATGTGCAGAAACACTGTGATGGAACTCTTTGAACACAATGGTCTCATGCTTAGTGATGAAAAATGGATTAAACTCCAGGCCTGCACACAATTAAAGAACTGCTGAACTTTCTAAGCTGGCAGTTCAACATTTTCAGTGTATGGTTATGCACGTGCATGAGTCTTCAGCCATCAGCGCCCTAAACAGTGACACTGATATTCTGCCTTTCAGCAGCTCTGAGTCTTATTAGTCTCTGCAGCAAGTCAATTTTAGCAGGACATTTTTTGTCCTACTGGGCCTAGATTACATAATTATTATTTTTTTTAATAGTCTGTTTTCTGTCAGCAGCTCAGAAGTTTTTGTTCTGAGAGCTCTGCTTGCTAAAGATCTATTTGTGCAATTCAGTGCACACTCATAGTGGCACTGTGCCAGTTTGTCTGGTTAGTTTGTTTTGGCAACATTAGCAGTGCATGGGTGAAATTCTGCTGAGGGACTTGGAAGGAGGATTCTATGGTGGTCCAGCTTAGAAGTGGGCTTAGGAAGCGGGTGGAGAATGGAAGGCAATTATTCCCTCCAGTCCTCTACCATGACATCAACATGATAATTTTGGTGCTAACTTTGTAGGCTAAAAGTAATTTTTTATCAATTCTCTTCATAAAAATACAAGTGCATAAGCTACCACCAGAAGAAATGCATGGACTGGGAATAATAGTGGGTTTTGGAAAAGATATTGCAGGAAACTTGGAAATAATTAACTTTTTGATTCCATATACCAAGAGACTGGTGTTGAGGGAAAGTGGAGTAATCTCTGTGGTCAGAAACAATGCTGTTAAATTTATGCTTTAGAAGTCAAACCAGGACAATTAGTTCTATTCTTCCTTGAGAGGCAGTTGTACCAAAAAAGCACATATGCTATGGCAAATCCAGCCTAATAATGGGAGGCAGTGAAACTGGAAAATGGATGCAGCTCTGAATGCTTAGAATGATTTTTTTTGGTTTTTCCCCCATTTTTACCTTTGCAGTGCACTGCCTCATTGCTAGCAGGGAGAAGGCAGAGTATGCTGCCTGTAATAAAACACAGTTTGAGCAACTTTGAGTAATTGTCTAAATACTCTGTGTAGGGTTGGTGTGTGTATATAATAGCAGGGGATAGTTAAACTCTGTACTGTGCTCTCCTGAACTCATTGGGTTTGCACAAGTGCAGCTGAAAGAAGACTTCGTCCCTTTATTTGTAAATTCCATTCTGATTTTGTATTTCTTGAACTAAGTCCTAAAGGAGCAAGATCCCCTGCTACTATCTATTCTACCCACTACTGAGTCTTTTTCCTTCATCACTACACCAGTGCCTGGACCCACAAGAAGGTTTCTGCAGAGTAATAGGAACAGTCAATAATATTACAGTAGTAACACTCATCCTCGCCCTGCAATAAACTTCATGTAAAGGGAGAGTGCAGGTGGGATAACTTACCACGTGTTTATGGTGGTGTCTGTAGTTACCACAAAGCAGCTGACATTTGGTGACTTGTCTGTCCGAGCTCCGAGTGCACGAGGCCTGACCAGCAGTGTGTTTGTTACCTTGCAGGGAATGAACTATCTGGAGGAACGGCGCCTGGTGCACCGTGACCTTGCTGCCAGGAACGTCCTTGTTAAGACTCCTCAACATGTGAAAATCACGGACTTCGGGCTGGCAAAGCTGCTCGGTGCAGATGAGAAGGAATATCATGCTGAGGGAGGCAAGGTAAAGCATGCTGCAGAATAAACTGCTGCGCATTTGCCGGTGTTTGTGCTTGCACACAAGCCTCAAACAAAGGCGGGGGGAAGAGAGTGTGTTTTTCAAAGCTCTCAGCTGCCATCTCAGCATGCTGCCTTTGAAGCCTGTGGAAGTCCTCTGAAATCAGCCAAAGCAGCATCAGGCCAGTGGGACTGCAGTGGGAGCAGAGGTAGCAGAGCAGCAAATGCTTTTGAAATTCCCACCCAGAAAGTCTGGGAAAATTCATCAGTGTAGCCAACACCAATAAGACTGTGCAGATTATAAAGAGAAAGGGAATTTTGTATATTTATAGCAGAAGAAAGACCTGTCAGACTTGGTTCAACACGCTTTTGTGTTGTACTGCGTGCTGATGGAGAGAATATGTCCTGCTGAGAAATTAAAGAGAAACTGCAAATATTGCAGAGGCCATAAATAGAAACCATATGAGTGTAGATCAGTCATGTAGCCTAAGATGGGATTTGTGTCCTGTTCTGATAGAAGGCTAAAAAGTAGTTGTTTGACTGTTAAAAATATTGTAAAACTGTTTAGTAGGAGATATTTCTGATGCCCCTAGTATTCCACATGTTTTCAGATTCTTCATAATATATGAAAATAATAAAGGGGAACTCAAAAGTTGCCTGTTCTGTCATTCAGATAGATCTGCTGGCTGCTTTTGGCTTTTTTCCTTTTGCAACCAAACTATTGATTTACACACCACCTGGTGGTAAATATCCCTGAAAAATTTTAGGTCAGCTTCTTAAGGGTTCTCTGTGAATTTTCCTAGGTTCCTATTAAATGGATGGCATTGGAGTCAATTTTACACCGAATTTACACTCATCAAAGTGATGTCTGGAGTTATGGTGAGTTTAAAAGCGGTTACAATTATAGAAGTTGGGTTGGAAAATTTCATGATTTGCTGGTGACTCTATACTGACCCTTTTACTTTGTATTGTGAGAAGAACAAGAGATCAAATGTATAAACACAGTGCCCAAATCACCTATTCAACAAGTAAAATCCCCATGAAACTGCATGTGAGTGAGGTGTAAGATGTTTCATAGAATATGCTTTGGGTAATGAGCCCTCCCCTGAAGGGGGCCACAGGTAGGAGACTGGTCTATTTGCTGAAGTTCTGTTAAAGTTTTTCTTCAGCAGCTTCACATGAAATATAATGGAGCTGGCAATAGAGACAGATAGCTAGGAGGAATTAAAATCACACTATTAAAACCACACTATCAGTTGGTGTCAATCAGTGTAACTCTGCTGAGGCCTGAAATGCTTATGCTGTCCTGGTACTGAGAGGACAATGCTAAAAGGGAAGCAGTATGATAACCTCCTTGGAGAATTTATTTTGTATTTGTTTTGTTCATAAAGCCAGCTTGAAAGAAAGGAGCAGAAAGGAAACTTTTCAAAGCAACCTATTGCAAAATTCCCCCTCACGGGTTCTTATATTTCTGGAAAATATTTAATACAGATGGTCAGATCCTATGTCCTTTTTGAAACAGTACAGCCTCTGGTCTTCTTAATCCATTTATGTATCTTGGCATCCAAAATCTTGTTTTGTATCCTAAGCTACTGGACAATCACAACAGCTACATCACAAGAGTCCATGGTATGTCAGCAAATGACGCTTAGGCAGCTGGTTTACACGTCTTTCAAAAACTGCTTCTGCTCATCTCCAGAGAGATTGTTTTCAAACAAAAACAGAACGTCCATTTTTAAAACCACTTGCTGTGTTGCAGTTGAGAGAGACAGTAACCTGCATTTCCTTTCTGTGGGGCCAGGAAGTTTGTAGAATGTTCAACACTAATATATTAACTGACATTTTAAAAAAAAGGAAGAAAGCAAAACCTTAAATGGAAGCAGGATGATTTCAAAATGTTATATTAATCTCTCCATAAAATCATGGCAGAAAATAGTTTCTCAGGTTGGGGTTCTGGCAAAACAGTGCTTCCAGGGGACCCCTCTCTGCTTGCCACTTCACACCCAGGCAGAGCAGTCCAGCTCCTGGCAGTCTCTTTTCATGTTCTTCTCCTCTTCCCACCCTGCAGGTGTGACAGTTTGGGAGCTGATGACATTTGGTTCCAAGCCGTATGAAGGGATCCCTGCCAGTGAGATCTCCTCTGTCCTGGAGAAGGGCGAGCGTTTGCCACAGCCCCCCATCTGTACCATCGACGTGTACATGATCATGGTCAAATGTGAGTTCACACCTGGGATTCTGGCTGCTCATCTGAGTTGAATAAGTAGCTCAGTTGCATTTTATGCTGCATTCCTAGTAATGGCACAGAAATAGGGTTGTGTGAAATGAGTGGTGACACCAGAGTGTGTTCCCACACCTTGAGCTTTACCTAGGAGCACGGGATGTGGCTTCATGAGTCACTCATTCAACCAACTAATGTTTTTTTCACCATTCACACCACTGACTGATACTGTCAATTATTTTAAACCAATATGGTCAGGCACTATAAATTAGCATGACACCAACCACTTTGCCTGATACTCTGGTTCTGTATGTCTAGGAAATAAAATCAACACTGCCTTCTCCTCCAAGCTCCCCCCCACCCCCGATTCAGTAATGTGCTTCCCATTGCAAGCATACAGGTGGATTATTACTAAAGGACTGTTGGGAGTGCGGGCACAATCATAATATTAGATACACATGAGGATTCCGAATTCCTTTTCAAAATTCTTCCTCATTTTTGGCTGGTCCCTTTTTGGCATGCAGCTGTTGCAGTATAGTAGCTCAAGAGCAGAGGGTTTCTGAAGCACTTTTTGGCTGGTTTAGGGCACATCAAAGGGCTTCTGAACCTCAAACCCCCTTTCCATCTGTATCATCTACTAAATGTCGGATTACTATCTGGCTTCCTGCACATCTCTAGGCCATGACTGACTCATCCCTGCTCACTGCTGTGAGGATGTGATAGGCAGCCCACTTGGTGGCATTTAAGACCTTCTCACTGGAGCAACACGTACCTGTTCCTGAAACAGGAGCCACCATGAACACTCTGTAGTGCAGCACTTTTGGGGAATCCTAGAGCACCCACAAATTGCTGTTGTGGGACAAGCATCACACAAGGTGACCCCGATCCTGTGCCCAGCAGGGCAACAGGAACTGCATTCAGAAGTGTACACCTAGCCTGGGAGGTGCCCAGATCCCAAAGCAATGTCCTAGAAACTCCTCCTCAGAGATTCTGAACCCTACTGACACCTCAGCGCCTATCTTTCCTTAGGGTCAGTCCAGATGTAGAAAGGAGGCATTTTGCCAGGCACCTAATCTGGTACCTGTTGCTTGTAAAACACAGCCAATGGAGTGTCCCGATCCTTTCCATGCCATTACACTGAGTTTAAATGCAAGAGTGTGAGGATCTGGGGGCTGAGCCTTTCTCCTGGCACAGGACTCAGTTGCATATCTTCTGCTGCTCTGGTCACCCCATGTTTGCAGGCTACAGTGCAGACCCTATTGAAGCTGTATCATTTTATCTAAAGGAATTCAGGATTCCCAGCCACCTCTTTTATAATCAGAAAGTATTATCTGAAATGTTCAAAGTTATTGCAAAATAATTACTAATTTTTAAATTTAAAAACTAGCATTTAAATATAGGCAGCTTATAGATAAAGTCAGAAACAGTAGATTCTATTCCTGCAAGAACGGCAAACTCCCAAACACTCAATTTTGTCTAATAGCAAGCATTTCTTTTTTAATTAGTGGGTAATGATATTTCTAGCATGATAAAAAGTCACTAGAAATTATGAGATTTTGTCTAACATGGATGTCTTTGTCTAATGCAGATTTCAGAAGGCGTATTACCACTTCATTTTCCTATCAATATAGATACGCTGTTTCTTCTGTGTTCCTCTAGACATACTAAGCTTAACCTTTATTATTTTTAAGTTTAAACACAAGAGTCTCTAGATCAGCTTATCTGTTAGTTAGTTACAGAAAATGTGGGTTTCCTAACTAATATCACATGTAAAACCTCCAGTATCCATATTTGAAATCTCTTCTAGCATTGATCCAAACTAAGCTGTAAAGACTTACTTTTGTTGAAGTCAGTTTACTAATTAAATACAGCTTAGTTGCAGTAATCTTTCAATATGTCTCCAGTGAGGATGTTTTGTATTTTAGAAGACATCTGGTACAGAGGGAGGCTTCTGCTGTAGTCTTCCCAGGACTTTATGAAGCAGTCCAGTGACTGTCAGATAGCCAAATCCTGGTACCTCTGCAGGCACCCATTGGTGTTTGTTTGCGTTCTCTCCTTCAAGAGCTTTTTAAAAGCAAACTAATTGGGATTATCCCTCAGATGGGACCTGCCTGCCCACATGGAGACAGGCCAGCAGGAGAGGAGACAGACTTAGCCTGAAGCTTTTCCAGTGTGGGATTTTATTTCTGTCTTCCCAAAACTGCCAAGATCTGCATTTTAAATGCTGAAATTCACAACCATGGCTGATGAATTCACTTTTTATGGTGGTCCCTTAGGAGTAGCTCCTTTCTTTGTCCCACACATGGCACTACTTTTTTGCTGTTATATTTTATTTTAAACTCAGTGTTTGATCACCAAGACAATTTTGTTTGTGCATTGCTTTTCCTGCAGGCTGGATGATCGATGCCGACAGCCGTCCCAAGTTTCGTGAGCTGATAGCTGAATTCTCAAAAATGGCCCGTGACCCTCCACGCTATCTTGTTATACAGGTACTAACCACAGTGGTGGGAAAACCTCTGATGATCTGAGGCCCAAAGTAACTAGTAATGCATATGAGAACATATTATATGGATAACTGAAGGTCAGATATATTGTTGTTTTACAGGTTTTAACTCGCTCAGCTAGAGCCACAAAAAAAAGGTCAAGACTGGTCACTATTTTCTTAGTACTGGTCTCAGTTAAGGACCAGAAACAGTCCATGAGAGGAGAACAGAATTTGATCCTCTTCAAAATGCAGTTATTTTACAGCAGCATGGACTGAGATTGCAGGCCTCAGTTCTCCTAAACTCTAGGTAAATTTAGTTAGACACACAGATCTCTGAATGGGCCATTTACATAAACATTGGACTTACGCCAGCTTTCTGCTGGTTGGCAAACAAAATTCTTGAAGGTGAACCTCAGGGTAGCATGTTGGGTGCCCCAGAGTGGCAGTCCCTGCCTTTGGCTCTTTTCCACTCTGGGAAATTCTGAGACATGCCATGTGCAAAAACCAAGTGGCAGCTGGGTTGAAATTAAATGCCAAGTGACACAAATGTCAGCATTAATTTTATATCTTCCTTTTCGTTCCTTCTCATTTTAATTTTTGTTTTTATTCTAGAGTATGTAAACCAACTGGTGCCCAAGAAAGCATCTGCCTCAGCAGTCCAGAATCCAATCTACAACAACTTCTCTCTCACAGCAAACTCAAAGGTCCCCACAGACTCCAGCTACCAGAATTCACACAGCACAGCTGTGGACAACCCTGAGTATCTCAACACCAACCAGTCTCCCCTGACCAAGACAGTCTTTGAGAGCTCTCCCTACTGGATCCAGGCAGGCAACCACCAAATAAACCTGGACAATCCTGACTACCAGCAGGACTTCTTACCGAAGGAAACCAAATCTAATGGTCTCTTGAAAGTTCCTGCAGCAGAAAACCCAGAGTACTTGAGGGTAGCAGCACCAAAAAGTGAATACATTGAAGCCTCAGCATGACCATAGAGAAATTTCTTCTTGCAGCAAGGCAAGCTGAATAAGTGAACTGTTGACTGCTGCAAGAGTGGACTCTGGCTCAGAGCAAATGGCAACCACAATGCATCAAAAAGCACCTCTACTTTTCAGCATGGGGCTTTGAAACTGCAAAGCCTGTCTGATGGTAGTTTGGGTCTTTCCTTGCCCATTTCCATGTAATAACTGAGGCCCATAGCTTGCACTCAGATGCATGTTGGGATGGAGCAGGATCTTCCTAGACTGAAGAAATATGGATGCATTCCTTTCATTTTCAAATGGTAGCATGGTAAAAAGCCACTCTGGGATGAACTCGAGAACTGTACACATTGTACAGTCCAATTTCTTTCTACATTCTGTATTTTTATAAATGTTTCTAACAGAAGTTTTGGATCTTTTACAAGATCAGATGCTTGTACTGCTCATCTGCTAAGTGTTGCTCAGATCACCAGCAGGGAAAAGAATTATGTTCCAAACCTCCTGGAACTGAAACTGTTATTCCAAGCCACTAGATTTTTACAAATTGGCTCCATATACTGCCTTTTGGCCCAAAGGTGAGAAGTGCATCTGAGGGACGTATGGGCAATTCTGCCCAGGGCAGTATGGAGTGGATTGGTCTGGGGAAAACTAGCACAAGCAGCAAAATGGCACAATGCATCACCTGCTGACCACTACTGCTACAAACTGACAAGAGGAACACGCCTCCAAGTCACCTGTACATGATTATAAAGTTGCTCACTAGTCTGTTTTCTGATGGTCAAACCCAAAACTTTTTTTTGTTCTGATCCCTTATGGAGCTGTCAAGTTGTCAAAATGCCTTTCTTCTTCAACAAAACTGTTAAAGATGTTGCCGTAACTGAAAAATGAAGTGTCATATAATGTTTAATAGACTTCAATTAAATGTCAAGGAAATGCAAATAGTGGCAAATTGGAGCACTCACAAGACAGACTGGAAGAACTACATTAAATTAAACTTGACTAAGGCAAGAAACACAGGTAGTTCTGGCCGTGCAGCTTTATTTCCGATTTTAAAGGGACTCAAAGCAGAAATAATTTTCCCTTATGCATTTGGCAAAGAAAAGGGGTACTATCTAAGCAGTACATTTCACTCATTTCAAGGCAAAATACTACCAATTGTTGTCCCATGCTGGGGCAGAGGCTGGGGCTGGTTACATGTCCCTTTGAGGTTACTATTCTGGCAATGCAGGAGGAGCAGTGAGAATGAATTAAGGAAAGAAGGAATAATCTAGAGTGATGGAAAATATTATCTCCCTCTTCTGAAGCACAGGGTTACCTACTGCTTTTTTGAAATAAGCAACATCATCTTCTGGTTATTAGTGTGGTATAGGCAGGCAAGGCAATGCTAAGATTTTGGCTTGACAGTATAAATCAGTCACAAGCAGGAAAAGCAGCTACTCCTTCCAGTGACCCATAAAATTATTCCATCACTAACATTTCTTTTGAATGTAGGAGGAATAAAGTGCCTAAAGTGTGAATTTACTCAGTCCTTTAGATGCATCCCACCAGCAGCTTTGCAGCTATTTTAATCAAACCACTAGATCAGAAAGCAAATTCTCATTTGGGGACAAAGGCCCTTAACTAGTTGAATGTTGGCATCTTGCTTGAGGGTAGCATAAGCAGCTGACTTGGAGAGGATCTGTAGTCTATATTAAGTAGCAAGAAACAGTCAAATTTAAGCTGCTGCTGTGTTTAGAATACATCATTATGTTTTTCAGTTTAGGTATTGCATCTAAAGTCCAGGATCAAGCAGCAAATCCTTAGAGCACTGTTTTTACAGATTTACTGAGGAAAGGAAACCTTCAGTCATGTGAAATGAGCCCTTTTTTAAGTAACATGCATTAGCAGTTATGTGTACAGCTCATGGGTCCCACTACAGTACAGTGTGAAGTGGCATGTTGGGTCAGAATCCAGAGATTGTCCTGTTTGGTAGATGTGTCTCACCATGACCAAGTCCCAGACACGGCAGTGTGGAAGATGCAATGTTTGACTTGGATTATCAGTGGCTTTTATTTAAAACAGTAACCAAAATTCAGTTCCCATGTCCAATTAGCAGCAGATTTCTCCTTGCATTCCTGGGAGCAGATATGTTGTGTTGCTCTCACAAGTGTGCAACATGTGCACACAGGCAGTGCTGCTTTCCCCCACCCACTGCCCTGGCAGAAATGTACATAAAACTAAAAAAGGATCTTAACAGAATTCACAGATAATTTTTCGTTTGCTGAAGAAGTTATGCCTCCAATCAGAACACTAGAAAATCACATAGTGCGTATTCTCCCACAGAATCTTTCAAACACTACTGCACAAAGGAATTTACTGATTTTAATCTGTTTAATCTGTTAGCTAAAACAAGAAAGCCACTGAGAAATAGCATTATGTATCACCAGCATTATGTAGCATGAATAGAGGTTAATGCTTGCCCTTTTAAAACAATTCAAGAGGGACTCAGTAGCAACCCATTGCTAGAAACAAGGAGATTCATCTAAAAATTAAGCAATCTAAGTTTGAAAGAACATCTCTCTTTGAATGTGACATTTTTGATGAAAAAAGTAGGAAAGAGGATGTAGGACCAGAAACTCTTGATACAAATGTAGATTCCAGATTGGCGGGATCAACCATATATTGTGAAGTATTTCTGGTACATGGCATCTTGTAAGCCATGATTTGTAAGTTGGCAGTAATGATTCAAAAGCCAGCAAAAAATAAAAACTTGGTAGTGCCTGCAGGGGCAGATACAGTGGCACTGGGAGCAGATGGGACTGTGCAGCAAATGGCTGTGGCTGGAAGCACAGGTGCTATGCAGGGTGATGCTCACAGGTAACAGATAATAGCAATATACCGAATCATTTCCAGCGTGATTTAAAAAAACAAAAACAACAAACAAAACACAAGCAACAGAAATGCCCTGGTTTTCCCATTGCAGTTCACTGAACATTAAACAGCAAGGAGACCCCAGCAGATTGTGTGTGCTCATACAGGAGACCATGGTTAAGCAGCATAAATCAACATCCAGAAATAACTTGAAAGGTCAGCTGGAGGTGTGGGTAGAAAAGGCTGATTTTAAAGACACAGCTAAATAGGGAAATATAGCATTCCAAAGCCTCTTCTGAAAGCCAACAGTCTTGCCACTTGAGAAAGATAAAATTTCCCTTTTTACTGTATTTCTCATGGAAGACCAAATAGAACACTCACAAGTTAGTCCTTAGCATTATCATAAAGCTGTAGTTATTACAGAACTCCTTTTGCAATAATTTACTACTTTTAATAACTTCTAAGTGTATGAAAATGTAATTTAAGAGTCTTCATCTTACTTTGATCTTTTCCAGTGACTGTGTGCAGTGTCAGCGCACTTTATTTCATCATGGGCCTTGGGTTGTTTTCTTCTGCTGCAAAGGGAGTTGATCTGGGAAATTTTCTTCCTCTTGCAATTGATTTTGTTGAGTAAATTCTTCCAGAGGCCAGGGGCTTGCTATTGTTCCCAGCTGACTGTGAACACTGAAGTAAGCTTTTTTAGAGAGCAGTTGGAAACAGATGGTGGTTTCTGGAATGCCTCAGGGTGATGCCCCATCCCACCAACTTCACCATGACTTGAAGCCTGCCCTAGCATTAGGGAATGTGGTCCTGAAGTTTGTTTGAGAGGAAGGGACTTGTATAGGGAGAGTAATGCCAGGGAAGGGCTGCAGCTGACCAGTCCATACCTGAGACAGCTGCTGAGTTTGCACAGGGACATCACTGAGGCCATTGACTGTTCCTGCAGGTACACTGCTCCTGTCCTGAACCCAGCTTGATGTGAAGTGGGTTGCAGAGATTGCTTGTGTGAAAACTAATATATGTGGCATTTGTACTACAGGGGGTATCTCTTCTCTTCCCTGGGGGCGTAGTTAGGGTTACAACAATGTCACAGGACCCCAAACAGCTTGAAGAAATCCCATCACAAGGTGCCTGGGGTGTTCTTGGTCTGTCTGTGGATGCTCCAGTGTGTCAAAAACAAACTTTGCATTTCCAGACAAGGGCTCATTTTTCACATTCAGGGTTCAACATTTTCTGTTAGTATGACTACTGCCTGTCAAATGGGCAGTTATGGTACTCTGGCCATTGTTTCCCCCAAAGTTTCTCTATGAGAAAACACTTGAATCAGGACAAAGTATGAAAATTTAACTGTGTCCTCCTTCTTGGTGGAAACTGTATACTCATGAAATGTCAGACTCTTTGTACAACACTTAGCAATAGTGCTTTGTAATGTTTTATCACCACTGGTTCAAATTTTTATATTGGGATCTCATTTTCTAGCTTTCTTCTTAAAAATGTTCCTTCTTTGTTCTGACATACAACTTTCAAGAAGCCTTTTTGAATAATAAAAAAAAAAAAAAGAAAAAAAAAGAAAAAAATGTTTATGCAAAAGAAAAACTTGACACCTTCAAGTAGCTTGTCAAATGGGCTGCATTAGGACCAAAGATGTAACGTCTTGTTTTCTTGCTTTAAAGGAATAAGGTATTGATCACCACTTCCACAGCCTTTTTTTATAGAGAAAAGCTACAGAGCTCCACCCTTCATTGGGGCAGGGTCAGACCTCCACTGAGCAAAGAGAGTTTGGCAGGAGGGTGAGGGCTGTCCATAGAAAACCAAACTGAATATCAGGACCATGTATCACTTCAGGGCCAAACCTACAACCTCTACTCTGTATTGCACTTAATGCAATATCTAAACAGAGATATAGTCAAGAAAAAAAGAAGCAAAAGAAGCCAAGAAAAAAGAAGCAAATGATATTTTGGCTCAGTATCTGGAAAAAATACGATGATGTGAAGATGAGGCATGATAAAATAACTTCTTTGTGTGAGGAAATGTGTAGGCAGGCAGTGAGACTTTAAAACAGTAACACTTTTGGTTATGTATTACTTTAATTATGTAGGGGAGTTGAAATCACAGAGCTTCCATGATATGCTTTGCTTTCTGCCATGTTTCCTGCCTGCTTTTGATGTGTGGTGTTAGGCAGAGCACCACCCTATCACCACGGCTTGTGTGGACTGAGAATTGTGGGTTCGTGCAGTCCTTTTTATGCAGGGAGAGAAAAGTGCAGCCATAGTTGGCTGTACTACAGTTAGTGGTCAAGCTAAGCACTCAACAGCATCCAAAAATGTGTTTCCCAAGGGAAAAAAAGTGGTAACTGAAGACCTACCTGGCAAAAGACACAGGACTTGTTGCACTGATGAAATCAGCAGTCAAAATGCTGAACACCTTCAGCCAAGATTTGGGGCTGGTGTTCCATCAACTTTGCTGTCATCTAACATGGTGCAGAGGGGTTGTCTGGATGCAGCAGCACAGGTCCTATGGTCTCTTTCTATCTCTCACTTTGAAGTAATGGATTTTTCTGATTAATAAGGTGAAAACCAGAAACCAAAAGAAAGAAAACCAGAAATCAAAAATGCCTCTAACAACTGGACTGGTAGAAGGTGTTGTTCCTACATAGCCAATACAGTACATAATTTCCAGTCAGGCTGGAATTTATCCAAATTCTTCTCCTTACCTCCCATAAGCTAGCTGGAGAGTGTGCATTTGCAACCACCATCAATGTTATCCTCATATTTTATTAAAGGGAATAATAAAAGTAGTTGTATACAATGGTAGGAGGCTTGGCTCATATACCTACATTCCCTTTTTAATCCTACATTCCTAATAGTGTTCTCCTTGAAATTAATGGGATGTTTAAAATGATTACAGTGAGAGTATAAAACAAGGCTAGTGTTGAGTGATTTTTGAAAATCCCTCACAATAATCAGAGATCCTATGGATCCATTGCCCATTTTAGGCTGCTTTGTATTGATGCAATCAACCGAATATAAGGTATGATGACTTGGTTTTAATAAACTGTCAAGCAATATATCCACAGATACAGATGGTACCTTCAGAGCATTGTAAAGTTACTCAACTATGAAAGCACTATTTGTAAAATAAGAAACTCTTGACTTTTATATGGTTTAATGGTTTATACTGTTGATCAAAGATTGTTTGTATATGAGCGATGAAAAAATGAGGTGTATATTATTCTTTTTAATTGTTTTTAATTTTTGGAGGACTTTTATTGTAATATACTGTTGTATTGGGGGGGAACAAAAAGCAGTGGCTAGCTTGTAGCTTGTAGCCAGAGGAGAACTCACAGTAAGGGTTCTTTATTGATGGACTTATATTTTTTTTTTTTTTTCTGGTAAAATTTGTCACCTTGGGGATTTATCCAGAGCTTAGTGAAGCTAGTAACAGCACTCTTTCCTCTCTTCAACAGCACTCTTTTCTCTGCATGCACAGTGCTGGAGTTTCATAATGTGAGCAATAATACAGGCAACCCTTGTGACCAATGGAAGTGCAATATGAAAGCCCAGGTGCTGCTTATCAGGGCCTAAAAAATGCTGCTCTTTTATGTGTCAGGTTCCCACTTCACTTCCATGACAAGAGCAGAAGCAGAGTGAAAGCAATCCCTCAAAAGCTGATCTGTGTGGCATATGAAGCCATAGTGTTGGCCATTTCCAAAGTACATAGCTAAGGCAAAATAAAGTCTCAACCAGAGTCACACTGATGACTTGAATTGTTGTACTATACTAGGCAGGAAGAGAAATTCTGTTAGCAAAGGCAGCCAAATGAAGCCCCAGTGTACCCTGAGTATGGGTGTTTAATATCCCACTGGTGGAACATGTGACTTACAAAGATTAAAGTAATTGCAGGGTCTTCAGCACAACAGAGCAAAATACACTGCATTGGCAAGACAGCAAAGAGGAGAGGAGCTGGAATTGTCAGTATGCATTCAGCCTGGATAGGTCCCTGGTATCACAATTAGTAAGTGAAATAATTTTTGTCTTTATAGATTAATTTTGTACACAGGGAAAAAAAAAAAAAAAGCCACAATAGCACCTTTCTCCTTTTCCTCTTTCCATCCAGACCCTTCCAGTACATAGGCTGCATGTTTTACCAGCTCAACCTATTTTATGCAGAAATTATGTAGTCTTAATCTTCATATTACTGGTTCTCAGAAATGTCTAATGCGTATTAATGCATGATATTTTTATTTTAATAAAAGTAATTAAATAAATATTTGCTCTTTTGGCACATTATTTCATTCCTACCCACCCCCCACTTTGAAATCAGCTGGCTTGTGAAGATTCTAGATAAGTTAGTATTGCTCTGAAGAAGAATAATTAGTATCAAAAAGAAAATTGAAATATACATTGTAGATCTAGGCACATCCTCTGAAGATCAGAAAGCAACTTGTAGATTTAAAAGTCCTTATCAGACAGGAAACTGCTGTTGTCTGTATCAGACAGAGGCAGAGCAATGCCTCTGCATTTACCCCAGAGGGATGAGGACCCTGACTTGCTAAATCCCACTTTTAAAGCACCAAAAAGAGAGGAACTTGAAATGAAGAATGGTATAAGTATAGAAAAGCGTGGGTGTTTGGGAAGGATGAGCATTCAGAAATTCCACTGAGTTCAGTGCAGTCAACTTCAAATAAACAGAAAAGTGACAGAGGGTGCAAGAATAGAAGACAGCCAAAGAAACACAGCTGCAGTTTAACCTCCCTATCTGCCTGCACAGGAAAAGGCAGATTAAGATAAGATATAGAAAATTGCTGTTAAAAGATAGGAGAGGAATACAAGTCTCTTCCATAGGCTCCATCATTATTAACAGCAGCCCTAAGCAAGCCTTACCCTTTGGCACTCCTGACCTCAACCCAGGAAAACAACAAAGCCAGCCTTTGGGGAATGAATGCCCAATAATTACATCAGAACACATCAGAAATGTACAAGGGAGCCAGTAACAAATAATGTAGCCTGAGGAGGCTCACAGCCACAGCTGGACCACCTACCATGGCACCTGAGACAAACCCACATACCTCCTACAGCACTGAACATGGAAGGGCTTCACCATCATTGAGACTGTTGAGACTGTCACATTGCAGCAGTAACTCGTCACAAATGGCCTTGTTTGTTCTTGTCCTCAGGCTGCTGACTGGGGCAAGGCTTCTGCAGCAACATTTGATACGGGGTGTTTGTACCAGGCATTGGTCTGGCAAGAAAGAGGGGCCTTGCAGTTGCCAAAGGTGGGGGGTGGGAACAGCAGTGAAGGTGACAGCTTCCTTAAAGTGACATTATGTTTGCTGTCTGAGATGGGCTCTGTTCTTTTGTCAGCAGCCTCCTGCATCAGACCCATGGCAGACCCCCAGGAGGTGTGCCACTGGCACAGCAGGCACAAAGGGACGTGTCCTGCTCAGGGTGCTCAGTGGGGTGGCTGATCTTGCTCCCCACGTGGCCTGCTTGGAGCCCATCTGTAGACATAAATGAGGAAGTAAAGCCTCAGTCCCACAATGTGAATTATTGCTGTTTATTTGAGAGAGGAGCTGGAATTGCAGATCAGGTGGTGCTTTAAATTGTTTGTTGGGAATTGAAATCTCTTTAATAAGTACCATCTGTGTGAAGTTCAACACCAGAGCTCTTGTTGCAGAAATCCTTTTACTTGAAAACCTGTTTTCTTTCTAAAGAGAGCAGAAGGAATGTTATTCAATGTGTGTGTGTTAACCTCAGAGACTGCTTTCTCCAGTGAGTTACAGCCCTGAAACTGAACTAGATCAGAAATAGCACAGTGTTATTCATCTTTATCCTGTACTGTATGTATGTATTGTGTGTTTGCACTTTTTTTCCTTTTCTTTTTTGAAAGCACACAGACTTATGGATTGCTCTAGACTTCACTGGACACTGTCCCTCTCAGATAAGAGCAGTGATGATACAAAAGATGGATATCTGTGTCTCACAGACAACTTTTATTTAGCAGTGTTTGTCCTGGCACCATTTTAGCAAGCCAAAGTACATCTAGTAAGGGTCACAGCTGGTTATACCGATTCCCATCTAGCTCTTGAAACCTGTTAAGTCATCAAAAGCTGAGGATCTCTGTGAATTTGCTGGTTGTGGGTAAGAAATAGAGCAATGTGTAACCTCTGCCGCTGCCCATGGAGGCCAGGCTAGGTCAAACCAAGCCTGGCTAGGCATAAATGTCACAGGAATGCAGTTCTGGCACAGCACAGTGGTGGGGTACTTCAGGCACAGCCCTTGTCCCTGTGGCCAGACACCCTACGGGGCACTCGTAGAGCACATCTGCAGCTATTTGAGATTTCCCAAAGGAACCAAAGCTTGCAAAGCCCCTATGGGACTATTCCTATTACCCCTGCTTCAAAGAGCAGCAGAAGGAAAGCTAATGGTGCCCTCTCTTGGAAGGAAGAAACTCTGTCCAGAGCATATGTAGCTTTAAAATAGGTCTCCCAGCAAACCAAGCTGAAAAAATGAGCTTGCGTAGGCAATTTATTTTCCAGTCCATTTGGAGTACAGGTTCATGGTACATTTAATCCAACCTACGTATGGGATGCTGCTAGAAAGGGTTGCTGCAATGATCCGATGGAAAATTAATCCTTCTCTTTGGCAGCTTAGTTTTAGCAGACTTGCAAGAACTGCATGCACCACAGAGCTGACTTGTGACATGGCAATGTGCATGCAAAGGACATATACCCCTTGGTGACAAGGTACAAGTGACAGCATCATAACAAGTGTGATATCCTCCTGCCCTCAAAAGATCTTGTGCATGTAACTGTGAATAATTCTATTTTCCCAGTTCTCAGTTACTGGCTTTCTCCATGTCTTGCAAGAAAAGCAATATTGTGCAGATGAGGCTGTGAAAAATCTTAAAGTAATGCAAATAGGCTGTGTCAGATCAAAGAGATCTAGGTTCATGTTTGGTTTGTGATCATTATACTGCTGGTAGGGAGAATTCTTCATCAAGCCTTTTTGTATCTTAGGAGAATACTCCAGTCTGAGTTTAACATGATGCAGAATAACATTTTTAAAAAAGCCATGGTTTTGCCTAATGCAAACACTGCCTCCGTATACTTTTAAAAATTAGTGTATTGGCCCCTGGGGCTTGCTAAAGCAAGATTATTTCTAGTACTTGTTTTGTTGATTTAGTATCCAGTGGGAACATTAGCAGCAGAGAGCAATGGGCATGCCCCAGAGGCATGTGTCCGTAAGCAATAAGTTACAATTCAAGACCACACACACAGCTGCCCTCCTCCCAAAAGTCAGGCTGCTTTCTCCCATCTCATATCAATGCCTGATGAGGAAGACTTTGTACACCTACCGAGCCTTCCCCTTCCACCACAGGGGAGGCAGCAGCAAGGGACACCTTCATAGTTACTTGATGGTCAGGCTGCCTCCAATGGGCACTTGAAACCAGCACAAAAAGACAGGCAGGCACCAGGCAATTCCTGGGAGAATCAGTGATCTATATGTAATTAAACCAAATGTGATTAGGCAATAGTTATTAGAGGTACCACTGACTAAAAATTCATCTTTGTAAGCAGCCTTGTCAGCATGCTAATTGCATTGGCTTTCTTATGCTTCCCTTCAATAGAAACTGGTGCAGATCAATAGGTCACTTCTTCCAGAGGGACAATGCTCACTGGAAAGCTTAAAATAATTATTTAGCCAGAGATGAGCCCATTGAAATACTGGTGGCTGGGCCAGATCCATCAGAGGATTTCCACCGTGCTGGTTTACAAGGGGGACGCCAGAGGAAGGAGACAAGAGGATGTAGGTGGGACATTTGGACTATCCAAAAAAATCCTGAAGAGACCTTGGAGGGAGGTGACCCTGTCTCCTTCACAGTATGTGACTCATATTTAGTCTTACAAGGACCTTGGGAGGTAGGAAAGCTTGTTACATGCAGGTAATAAAAATAACAGGTTTTTTTTTCTTTTTTAAACTTCAAAAAGAATGAGAGAAAGAAACGCAACCTGGCCTCGTGTGGGATGGCCTAAGAGGAGGGAGCAAATAGGTGTTGGCAGGACTGTCAAGGGCTGTCAGGATAGAAATGCTTATTTTTTAAGGATAGAAAGATAATGTGGTGGAGGGTAGAGTTAAGAAGAGGTGTGTCAGAGACTGGTTGACTGATTTGGGAAAACAGGTATTTTCTTTAAGATAAATTTGCACCAGAATTTGGTTGTGGTTGAGTGACCAAAGGCACATGCACACAAAGAGCATTTTCTTTCCTAAATCATTAACTAGATCCTTTTATACATGTGTTATTTTGATTTTGCAACAATGGTTTGAGCCCTCTGGAGATGTTTTGGACAGGATTGGATAGATTTGCTTCTTGGATGGTCTTTTGGACTTGTATTACTTAGTGGAGGATGATGTAGCAAGGGGCATATGGGGCAGTGCCACAGAAAGAAAACTGACTGTCGGTCCTGCCTGGAAGAAGTGTGGGCTGTAGCAGGAGACAGTTTGGAGGAATTACCTACAGAAGACAGTTTTTGAGCCCATGCTTATGACTTTAGCTGAGGTGGTGGCAGCCTTTTATACAGTTTCTTTATCAAAGGGTCAGTGCAATTACACAAGTATTAGCTCTGTAGCTGAAACCCCTGACAGGCTGTAGACTGTTTTGTGCACTTCATGTTTCTTAGCAAGGTTTTGTAGGTACTTAGCACAGTGAGGTCCCTTTGAAATCAGACCCTTAAATTTTGTGTGGAAAAAAAGATCCCAAGTGTGCCTTCTGAAAAGAGATGCTGGGTGTGTAGTCTTCTGGTCTCACCTTTCCATGCAAAAAGATTTGCACAGCAGGCAGAACAAGCCGTAGGTATGTATATATCCTCTTGCAGGGTGCAATTTCCTATTTTGCAAGCCTATCACCTGCTTACACAGAGAAGGAATTACCTCGAGGAGACTTTAATGGGCTCAGAGATTATATTTTGTCCTCAATGCTAGGTTACGGTGTATTGAAGCTATCATTTGAAATGTTTGCTCAGAAAACTTTCTTGGATGAAAGACTGCTATTCTATTTCAAACTCAGTTAATGATCATGACTCAAACTTATGCTTTCTCACACCAAGAAACAACAAAAAATTACGTAGAGGCTATCAGGAAATTAATAAATAGGTTCGTCATAAACTGAATAATTCCAAGACCCTGGATGCCTTCTTTTCTATGTGCTTTCATTGAGCACCTACTTTTTAGCCACTGGGAAAGATATTTTGCTATATGGAC